GGCCATTGGCTATGAAGTCACAAACAACAATAGGGTCCTCTTTCTTTCTTTCTTTCTTTCTTTCTTTCTTTCTTTCTTTCTTTCTTTAAAACAATTATTTATTTATTTATTTATTTAAGTACATATATTTATTTAAGTACATTTATTTATTAATTAAAATACATTTATAAGTATTTGTTGTACAGTATAATATTTTCCAGCTGTCAGTGTTTCATTAGTACAATTAAAAGCATCATAGATTCTGAATTAATGCCTCCTTCCTTCTTGTTTACAATTTTATAGGATCCCCTATGTGCCTCTTTAGTTTTCTTTTGTTATTAAGATATTGAATCACTAGTTGTCATTCATTTACAAAGTTCTCTAGCCATTCTCCTCTTAAGAGCACAGTTATCTTGTCAATTATTAGCAAATCTATAATGTATATTTCCCATTCTTTTAAGGGAGGTATCTATGAGGTTTTCCGATATCTAGCATATATTGTTTGAGCTGTCACTGTCATGTAAAATATTTTTTCCAAATTTCTTTTCTAGTTCTTCATCTGGCATGTTCAAAAAGGTAATTTTGTGGTGTCATTTCAAAGTTTGTATGTAGCATCTTTTCGAGGTATACATGAATCTGTTTCCAGTGGTTGTTTACTTCCTTGCACGTCCACCACAAGCAAAATGTGCCTTTTTCTTTTCCACATCTCCAACATTTGTCAGTGTAGTTGTACATCTTCACTAATCTCTCTGGAGGGAGATACCAACACAGATGCATTTCATAGACATTTTCCTTCTGTTCTATGTCTTTTCCCATTGGTATATTTTTATCTCTTAGCCTATGCTTTGAGCCCATCTAGCCATTGAGTCTTTTACTACTTCCTCTTCCATGTACCAAGTCAGTAGATGTTTGTGTATATATAAAATATGGATCCTTTTGGTTTCTGGAACATAGCCACATCGAACCATATTTTCATAGCCTGGAAGCCCTGGGATCTAAGTTCTTTAAATTTCTCATGCAGCTGTCCATATAGAAGCCAATTGCATTTAGGATCCATTTGCTTCAATTTTTCTAGTGATTTCTTTTCTGGGTTTTCTAAGTTGGTTTGGATCAGGTCTCTGTAGGTTAAATATTTTCCTTGTAGGATATCCTCCCTTTTGTAGTATGCCTCATCTGGGGATATCTACCCCAGTGTGTTTGTGTAAATTCTTTTTTTATATCTATTCCAGGTGTTTAGAAATGGTCTCCATATATAATGGTCATTAAATAGGCCTATTGGCTTGGCCTTCTGTATATCCAAATATACATGCCATTCAAATGGGAGATTTATGCCTTCTAAATCTAGTAGCTCATAGTCTTCTAGGAATACCCATTCTTTCATCCAGTCCAAACAACACTCATGGAAGTAGCGTTACAGATTTGGAAGAGGTAAGCTGCCTCTTGTTTTATCATCATTAAGTATTTTCATTTTTCTTAGGGTTTTTTTTTCAGCCCAAATAAATTTTGAGGGTTTTATTTTGCCATATTTTAAAAAAAAATCATTATTGATGATTGGTATGTTTTGAAACAAAAATAACATTTTCGGTAATGCTGTCATCTTAATAGATGATATCCTCCCTAATAGGGAAAGCCCTTGTTTGTCCCATTCTGCTAGTTCTTTTCTTATCTCTCTCCACACCCTTTCTTAGTTATTTTTGAATAGCTCTGGGTTTTTTTTTGTAATATATATATACCTAAATATTTGGCTTTCTGTACAATATTATATTCTGTATTTTCCTTTCGGTTTTTTTTCTGATTCTGTCAGATTCATTGTTAAAATTGACTTTTCTCTTTGTTTACCTTTAACCCAACTAATTCTGAGAAGTTGACAGGGTATGTTTAATTATTTTGCTGAGTCATTAGAGTTTTCTAAGGTCAACACAATATTATCAGTAAAAGTTCAAATTGTGTAGTCTTTTCCTGCTGCCCAGACACCCTTTATCTCCTTGTTCCCATTTATTTAATTTATAAGCATCTCTATACATATAATAAAAAGGAATGGTGATAGCAGACAGCCTTATTTCAACTCTTTGTGCTTTCCCTCCATTGATTATCAACTGTGAGTATTGGTCTTTGAATATAGTTCTTGTTGTTTTTATAAATTGGTCTCCTATCTAATGCTTGGAACAGTGTGTTTAAAACATCTACCGTTTCCTTTTCCAAATATGCTCTTTTATAGCAGAGGGAAGATGCTTCCAAAAGGGAATGGACTGATGCTCATAAGGTAATGTATACATACTGTTCCAAGAATTAGAAGGAAAGAAAAAGAAGGGAAGAAAAAGTAATTAATGGAGGCAAGGGTTAAAAGAAGGACAAAAGGCATTGGGAAATTGGCTACTTGGATATTTAATTAGGCAAGAATCCCAGTCAAGGCTCAGTCATGGTGAGTGTTATCCTTATTTCAACACATTGGCATAATTTACACTGACCTTGGCTATGCAAGGACTGAGTTACACAAGAGATTGTTGTTATTTAGTTAATGAGTCTTTCTAATGAGTTAATGAGTCTCCCTCAAGTTTTAATGCATACATCAACAGGGCAGGCAATTGAATTCCACCTGTTCTATTAGAAGTTAGACACCCAGGATGCTGCGATTGGCATCTCTGTTCCAACTGCACTCAGTTGTGAGGTGGGGGAGGAGGATATGCATTTTTTTGGTGTGCAACAGTGTCAATGATCAACAGACCAATGAATGAAGGAGCACCCAACATTTTAAAAGAAGAGAGCACAGTGAAATTGCCTCAATTGGGAACATGGTTGTAGTTGTTCCCTGAATCTGGATATAGATTCAACTTTACATAGTTCAAAATCTTGTCAATGAAGGAACTAGTATTAATAGTGAGGGAGAAAAATCTGGAAAAAGATTTTATAGAAATCTCGGTATACAACCTTTTTCAACTCACAAACAAAAACAATGAAAAAAAAGGATTAGATTAGTATTTACTTCTCCGTCAAAAATCCTGCCCATGGAGTGCTTCAGGATATGTTGCCATTTCCAATTCCCTTTGGCACAGCCCTAAAAATAGTATGATTTTGCTGAATTAGCAGGCTGAGCTAAAAGTGATACTAGTTCAACTTTGTCCTAGTTCAGTGTACTGTATACAGATAGTGTTAGCTCCCACAGACTGAAGATTAGGTGAAATTGGGGGAAGTTGAAAAATCACCCTTAAAAAGTTACAAGAATTAATAGGGCACCTGAACATATCTTGCAAAATAGTAACACTTGGGAGCAAAATAGGAGCACTTGTTTATGCAAGTTGACTTGTAAGTTTAGCATAAGTTCCTGAATAATTGCAGAGGGACCCATATAAAAGGCAGGATCTAGAGGGGTGACTCAAGTGCAAATGCTTTCTGAACCAGAAAGGGCTTCGACATAAGGTCACACTTTAAAAGATCCTGGTGTGCTAACTCTTGGCTAGGAGGATGGGCCAAAATTGGGATGGGAAGTGTATTAGATACCAGTTTTCCCATGTGATAATCAGGTCACAGTTTAGGTCACCAATAGTTTAAAATCAAAATTCCCTCAAATTAGCTATGGATATATCTCTTAGAACCAAAGCTGTTTCTGAAAGCATACTTTAAAGTCTCCATTATACACAGAACAACGTATCCATTTCCCCTTTTTAGCCAAAGGGATAGGGACACAACTGATACTTCTTATTGGTAGGGACATGCTAGTATATTGGTTTGCGAGGAGTTCTGTGTGAGATGAAGGGCCCTATATGCCAGAATAACAAGGCAGAAAATCACACATTATCTGTTTTGAATTGGAACATATGGCAGTGTGGACTCAGATGACTCAGTTCAAAGCAGATATTGTGTGATTTTCTGCTTTGATATTATGGGATATAGGGCTGTGTGAAAGGGCCTTCACATGTCTGTATGACCCTGCAATCAGAAATCACAGGATTTTTTATCTGGGTTTGTTCCCAGGTCTTAGATGCTTGTTCCACAATGAAACAGGAACAGATACTTTCAAAGCAGGAACAGAATGCCATAATTACCATAATTACTCAAACCTTCTTGTGTGGCCATCTGTTCAGACAGGTATCATGGTGTACTTGTGCCAGGGAATAACAGGATGATGTTGCCGGGTTATACATGTTGGTTCCTCATTGGGTGTATGCTGATAACTTATGTACAGTTTATGGCAAAAAACTTACTACTGGCTGTTGGGACATGGATTTGTTGGAGAGGAATGCAAATACTGCCAGCCAAGGCCATGCAGGAAACTAATAGGAAAAGCTAGGATAACCCAGAAGCAGCTCTGTGCATAACCTAGGTGTTCAGCGTGGAGGAGGAAAATCACATGTCATTTCCTCATGCCAGGAGGATGCGAGGAGGGACCTTATGATGGTTAGGTACCCTTTACTTAACTTTTAAGGGGAAACTGGGGGGCTTTGGATGGCTACATGCTATCCCGATATTAATTGGGATGGCATGTAGCCACCCCCTCCCCACTTGGGGGAAGGGCAGTGGGGACTCTAACCCATGCCAAGGTGGGTTTTTTAGTCCTATCTGGAAGCACCCTTAGTGCTGCTACTGCTCCAAAAGAACACATTTTGTTATTAAATGTTAATTTTTTTTTCTTCACAGGTAAAAGGAATGAATATTAACCTGCTTCTGACTCCTAAAGAATTATGTGAAGGGAAGATATCTAGTGTAAAAAATTACTAGTGATTATCTTCCCTTTTCCTATTTCTTTTGATTTAGAAATCTGTCATTTAGCATATTCAGATCTAGGAATGAAGGGTGAAACTTGTATAATTCTTACAAAAAATATGCCTTAAACTGGACACATGTCCAATTTACTGACTGAGCATTCGATTTGACCTGAATTATATAACCCTGACTCCTCTTACTCCTGTGTTCATTCTTGGAAGGGAAGAGGAACTCCAGTGTTTGTGTATTGCAGTTTATGTAATGATGGAACAGCCTATGTAATGATTTACCAAGGTTCAACCCTCCATTTAAATATAATAATTTACACTCATTAGGAATATACTATTTAATAGCAGCCTTTATAATTGAAATAATCCAAACAGGATAAGATCCTTTGCTGACTTTAACGAACAAATCTCAGGAGGTAAGTGTTGTTTAAATATAGCTTCTTCTCCTTAGGAACTTTCTGGAACTGTACCATACATGCTTACAAAAGTAAGCAATTTCTATTCATTTAATACAAAAACATATCTGTTCATTCTATGAAGGCTGAATATTTGAATAATGGTACTTAGATTTAAGAGGATATTTGTGGCTGGGTACAAATCGGGGAAAAAAAACAGTTCTGAGGAGTTCCACATATATTTGAATATGCCTATACATACATGCAATGTAAAGATATGTGTAATGGGCTATATGAAGAGCCTTAGCATGAACAGCTATTTTTTTAAGTTGAGGAAGGACTTTTATACCCAGACTTTGCACTTTTATGCTCAGAACATCAGCCAGAATGGTGAGTAATTATGGAATTTACTGTCTGAAAGGAAACAAACTATTCTTCTTGTAACTCACATTTTATAGGATTTGGAAAACTCCACAAATGAAATTTTCTCCCATGTGGTGTTTTCTGTTCCCTACCTTGTAGGTGGCAGATAGAACATTCATGAGAAGTGATTATTTGCCAGGCATAATGGCACATTGTTTGTATTGTCAAAAATTATTAAATTTTTGTGGCTTAAATCAAATTGTTACTCTGGTCAAGAGTAGACTCATTGAATCAATGGTACTTACTAAACAATTGAATGACCTCCTATAGTTGTGACTAGCTGTCAGACATATCTATTTATTTAGATAAGATCTAAACCTTGTCTTTTTAATCAGTTGTAATAATTAGGTCATATCCTAAAATGTTTAGCTTAAAATAAAATTCAAAATTGTCCAGAATAACTTTTGGGAGGCTACTTTTAGAGCAAGACTGAATGCCTTCTGCTCTTCCATGCTGTTCCCACAACACCAGAGAGTAGTGACATATCATGGAGGCCAATGGCTTTGCACAACTGCTGCCATTGTGTGATTGCGATGCTATAGCTGTATGAAGAGCTCCTGAAATGTTTCTCATGAGAAGATGATAGACTGGCAACACTTACTGTATGACGTCATGGGATAGGCAACTACTTTGCCAGTTTTTCTCCTCTGTGTGATAAAGTCCAATCTACTATAAGTACAAATCTATTAGTAAGGAGTCAGTAAGTGTTATAACTTTGCAATGTTTGGAGAAATTCAAAAGCCTTAATGTATCCTGAGCTGGACATGTCCTCTCGTTCTCTCTCTTCTGGTGTTTTTGATTTCTGAAGAATGGAAAACTGACTGAATTTCATGAAGATTTAGAATTTTAAAAAAATCAATTTTCTGATATTACTTTGTTGTTTCTCATTCTACCCATTTAGTTGAAATAATATTTTTTGTATTTTGTATTGTCCTGTCAGCTACACTAGAAATGGAGCCATCAGATAAATACATGTTCAAACACAGGGAATACTATTTTGTCCAAGACATGACTACACCTGAATACATTGATTCACTGGAGAATTTTGAAATCCGGGACAGTGATGTATTTCTGGTCACTTTTCCAAAATCAGGTAGGACTGGAAATATTTTGCATATCAAATATGACATTTTTCATGATTTCATTTGAAATCTGGACAGAGTGTTTTAATTTACACATGCTGCTGGAATTGTCGCTGGAATTGCTATAGATCATGTCAATTCCAGCGGTGCCTGTCTGAGGGCACCATGCCCTGCATCACCCACTCCCCATTCCATGGGGGGGGGGAAGCATCCGCCACCTGGCTCCCCCTGTTGATACAAGGCAACACAGAAAGCCTCTCATGTTGCTGCAGTGACACCATGCACCAGTTTCCCTTCCCCTTTAAGATGGAGCCCCACCAGAAGTTGCAATGTGTCATGTTTTGGGAGCCAGCAGGCTCTGTCATAAAAGGGAAAGTGAATTGGCACGTACTACCGAATTCACCCCCATCTGATGAGGTTGTAATTCATGAATTCACATTTTGAAGGTAAAGAGATGGGCATTGTGAAGAAGAAGACAGAGGGAAAATCTAATGGGAAAAAGATTCTTCGAGTGTGTGTGAAATAATGTCATTTTATGGAGATTCTGTTACTGGGTCCTCTATTTATATACATTTCTTATCATTGGAGGAGAATACTATGAATACAACTAATCAAAATCTGGTAGAAAAAGGTTAAAGAAGCATAAAAAGAACATGAAGGTACACCGAAAGACATGTCTGAAGAAATTACAAGAGGACACTAGACATATTTAGAAGTATGGAGAGTAAACTGGTGTTGCTGATAGTCACTAGAGAGAAAAATGTTTTAAAATTTATTTGAAAATGTCAGTTTGTATCCATAATTTTTAGTTTGTAACCCACATTCTCATCTTCTAAAATTATTCTAATATTGAAATCAATAAACCCCTGTCCTTCCACATCTTTACCAGTTAACTCATCAGTAACCAGGAACAGGAAGATCTCAAAGTCTAGTATTTATATAGCAAGATCAGAACTTCTTAATTTTCTGTTACTCGGGCTCTTTCCCAAAATGAGCTATTAGGAAAGGCATTTTTAAAAATTCTCCCTTAATTTATCTAGCTACAGTTACTTATATTTCTTTTGCACAAGTTAGATTATACAGTTTCAGTTGACATTGATTGTGGACAACAAAGGTTTAACTTTCCTCAGGCTATCCAAACAATTTATAATCCATTTTGTAATGAACAAAATATACGTAAGTCCCATGGTGGCATAAAATAAGGAGAAACATCATCCAAGGGCTTACAGTGTTAGGAATTTTTAAGATAATTTAAAATAAATTAATTGGGTGCTTTGAAGAAATAGATAAAATGGAAGTTACTTTATATCATGCTCCTTGTGTTTGAGGTCCTAGAATGATCATGACAACCAAGGAGTGTTCAAAAGGAACATCCCAAGCCCTAAATTTCCTGAAAACATATTGACAGGTTGCCTTGTTGGCCAGGCACCACCAAAATACAACAGCAGCTAAAATCCACAAAAAGTGATATCCTTAAGCCAACCAAAAATTCCCAAAATACTTCATGCAAACTTTTCAAGTTCCATTGGCTTCTTCATCAGGCAAAGGTGTTAAAATCAGAGATAAGAAGAAGGGAGAAAAAACAATAGTCACAGACCTGTATTTCAACAAAGTTTTTTCTGTGAATTAAGATGTGAAATTTTCGTAGGCATGCATCACTACCCTCGTTTACTATGTGGATTCTGGAATAAGAGTTGTAAAATCGAGGAAAGAAAATACGAACTCCATTAGGAACAGAAATAGTAATGTCCCTCGAGAGCAAGACTGTTTCTATCCTGGATAAGGCTACTCACCTTTTTCATAGGTAGAAATACAGAAAGTATTTATCAAGATGCCTCTGTGCTGTTGCATTTAGAAGAAAAAAAACTTTAGGTGATGCATAGCTGAAAAGCACTTTTTTTCCGCTCCCTGTCATGCAGGCACCTTTGGTGATGTCAGCAAAGGTGCCCTGCAACAGTCAGAAGCTCTCTGGGGCTCTTTGGCCATGTGCTGTGGTGAAGAGCATGACATGGTCCCAATCTATTTCATTTCCGTAGTCCTGCCAAATATAGATTGTAGTGACCCATGTAGATAGCTAATGAGGATAGCTCACATTAGAGCAGTTCTGCTGTCCAAACTATGCCCTCAATGTGGGAGTACTTCAGAGTTTTGGCAAAAATTCCAAGGCATTTTCCAACTTTACTGAATACAAGGCTTAAGTGGTTCTGCCCCCCCCCCCCCCAATATTAAGGACTGGAAGTCCCTGGACATCAGCTGAACATCCAGGAGTGACTTCTAATTCACTTTGGATTTTATGGCTGGTGGAGACAAGACCTACAATATATTCACTGAAAAACTGACATATTTTCTCATATGTTACATTGAAAGTAAAAGGTAAATTAATGTCATGAATGAATTGTACCTGATCATTTATATTCACACAGGAACCATATGGACTCAGAATATTTTGAGCTTGATTTATCATGAAGGCCATCGAAATGGAACTGAAGACATGGACCTGGTAGACAGAGTTCCATGGCTGGAGTACAACCTCCGCAATGTAGATTATGTTAAGCGGTCATCACCTCGTCTCTTTGCCAGCCATCTGCCCTATTGCTTACTGCCAAAGGGATTAAAAAATGGAAGAGGAAAGGTAAGGGCTAATACTTCTATCATTTCATTCCTTTAATTTGTTGCCTTAACAGGGGAGGAGACAGTGACACAACAAGATAGCCCATCTGAAACATGCCCATAAATATTTTTCTCTACCAGCCAATTCCTGGATTGTTCAACAGACTCCCCCTTTTTGATCGTCCTTTTTCTTTTTGTCCTCTTTGGACATACAGCCTTTCTTGACATCTGTCCTAAGAGATGAGAATATGGCCATGTAATAATCATCCAAGACTTTCTCCCTCATTTTCCTTTCTAAATTAATAACTGGATCATTGTGATCATCCTAGCCCCCATTTCCCTTTTGTAAATCATTCTGGGACTCTTAGCTGATGGACATCCAGCTGCTTATTGTGTCACTGTCTAAAAATCCCACATCATTTGACATGACTGCTAATGCTGACTGTGACCCCTGCAAGTCTACCCTCTCCAGTTTTGCTACAGCACTTCCAAGACAGCCATGCTACTGGATTCCCCACTATAAAATCCAATGGTCAAGATAGCTCACTATTAGTGATGCTCTTCTTCTGCTCCTTTGCTAGTGCCAGATCTGTCCAGGGTTTTTAAAACGAGTTGACAGTAATTCCTGTGGCAAATGTACTTTTCCCAGCTGGTGATGCCTTTCTGCCAACTTCTTGTCCTGCACTGCCTCCATGAATATGCAGCTGGACTCTCAATGTCTACCTGATCATCCTGCTCCCATGACATTCTGAAAGCATCTGCCAAGAAGGTGGCAAAACAGGGTGCTGTATACACTCCCTAGCATGCATCCAGTTGGGCAGGCCAGCCAAGGAATTCACATTATACAGGGTCCTTTTCCTCTTGAGCAACCAGTCTTTAAAATCATAACAAAAGAAAAGAAAAGAAATTCCTCACTTGCTTTACTTTATGTTGGAGGCAAAAATCTGGGATAATAAACTTCCCAATCATTCTGCTCCATCTACATTCCTCTTTTTCGGCAGCTCAAAGGCTTTTGTAATTGACTGGGCTCTTTATCACATGCATAAAGTAAAGTCATGCATGCAAAAAAATTAAAGAGCTACCAACATTGCTAGGACTATGATTCATTACATTAAAGATGAGTAAAATTAACTGGAAACCAGATGACACTAGCAGAAAAACATTATTTAAGAGAAAGTCTGATTACTAGGAACAGTGTTTGGGTAAGCAGAACATTTTGCCTCAAAATATTTTTAATATCATTGCTTCTGCAGATTATTTACGTGGCCAGAAACCCAAAGGATGTATTGGTTTCCTATTATCATTTTTCCAAAGTTTCTCAAAAATTGGAAGAAGTGGAAGACTTTGAAGTTATTATGGAGAGGTTTTTGGCTGGTAAAGGTAAGCTTTAGTAGAATTAAAATAGGAATATATTTTGCCTCTGTTACTGTTTGTGATTGACCAAAAATTGAAATTTTGGCTGAGATATAATTTCATAAGGCTACATATTTTGAACACAGACAACAAGTAGTGGGCAATATATTAGGCAGAAGAAAAATCTAAGTTTGACTTATTTAATATGGAAATTCACATAAGAAAGAAGGATAGCTATGGGAATAATATACAGTTCCTAAGCAACTGACCATGTCTGCATGCAGTCCTGAAGACATAATAAGGCTATTCACAGATCTTTCTGGTTCAGTGTGATTTCTACCCTAAAGTGAACTGGAAGCTGACTCATATAATAGGTGCAATTGAGTATAGTGTAAACAGAAATGTTTTGACTATTCAACACTATGTTTCCAGTTCATTATTTATCAGTTAACCAAATTTCCTGGTCTCCTTTATTATGTTTAAATGAAAAGCACTGCACATCTCTGTACCTGTGCATTGGCAAATATTTACATCCCAAGTAGCAGCATAATAGTACTTAGAAATATTTTATAATAATAATAATAATAATAATAATAATAATAATAATAATAAAACTTTATTTATATACCGCTCCATCTCCTCAAGGGGACTCAGAGTGGTTCACCAAGTAACATCACAAAACATACAGAGTAAAAACAACATAACCATAAGATTAACAAACAAAATATAAGCATAAAAATTGTCACCCTAACACACTTATATTAAAAGTAATCCTGCCTGTTCAAGGCAATTAAAAATTTAAAAGTATTTATTTGTCGTGTCAGGGCAACCAGTCAATTGTATTACATTTCTAACAGAACAAAACAAACAAACAGACAAAATACAAAATTTGCGAGTTTGGAAGTTGATTAAATGTCCTGTGACCAGTAACTGGCCACTTGGAGTGCTTCTGGTGTTTCTGTAAGAAGTTTCTCCATTGTGCACGTGGCAGGGCCCAGGGTGCATTGCAGCAGGTGGTCAGTGGTTTGCTCTTCTCCATGCTCGCATATCGTGGATTCCACTTTGTGGCCCCATTTCTTAAGATTGGCTCTGCATCTCGTGGTGCCAGAGCGCAGTGTGTTCAGTGCCTTCCAAGTTGCCCAGTGTTCTGTGTGCCCAGGGGGGAGTCTCTCATTTGGTATCAGCCATTGGTTGAGGTTCTGGGTTTGAACCTGCCACTTTTGGACTCTCGCTTGCTGAAGTGTTCCAGTGAGTGTCTCTGTAGATCTTAGAAAACTATTTCTAGATTTAAGTCGTTGACGTGCTGGCTGATACCCAAACAGGGATGAGCTGGAGATGTCTCTGCCTTGGTCCTTTCACTATTGGCTGCTACTTCCCGGATGTCAGGTGGTGCAATACCGGCTAAGCAGTGTAATTTCTCCAGTGGTGTAGGGCGCAGACACCCCGTGATAATGTGGCATGTCTCATTAAGAGCCACATCTACTATTTTAGTGTGGTGAGATGTGTTCCACACTGGGCATGCGTACTCAGCAGCAGAGTAGCATAGCGCAAGGGCAGATGTCTTCACTGTGTCTGGTTGTGATCCCCAGGTTGTGCCAGTCAGCTTTCGTATGATATTGTTTCTAGCACCCACTTTTTCCTTGATGTTCAGGCAGTGCTTCTTGTAGGTAAGAGCACGGTCCAGAGTGACTCCCAGGTATTTGGGTGCGTTGCAATGCTCCAGTGGGATTCCTTCCCAGGTGATCCTCAGAGCTCGGGATGCTTGTCTGTTCTTAAGGTGAAAAGCACATGTCTGTGTTTTAGATGGATTAGGGATCAGCTGGTTTTCCCTGTAATAGGCAGTAAGAGCACCTAGAGCTTCGGAGAGCTTCTGTTCTACCATCTCAAAGCTCCCTGCTTGAGCAGTAATGGCACGAACATCAGCATAGATGAAACTCTCTGTCCCTTCTGGCAGTGGCTGGTCATTTGTGTAGATGTTGAACATGGATGGAGCAAGCATGCTCTCCTGAGACAGGCCGTTCTTCTGTTTCTGCCATCTACTTCTCTGCTGTCAGACCACCTCAATGGCAGAAACTGTTAAGTGCAACTGAAACTGGTTTGATCCTGCTGGACAGTAAGCCTTATCTTTGCTATTGTTTGCCACCGTATCAGTGGCATCTGAGATTCAGAAATCTTGTGACCATAATTTGTCATGCTTGGTGATGAAAACAATCCCCCTCCCCTCTTCTTCCCTTCTCCAATCCCCTTCCATCTACAAGTCATTTCGCTTCCATTGCCAAAGGTGATGAGTGATGGCCATGATCCTTCTGGAACTGAGAGGCCACAGCTTCAATAATGAACAATAACATGGCATGGCAGCACTACCCCATGTGAACAGCAGGAGCAGTTCCAAATAAGATTTCTCCCGTTCTATCCACTCTCTGTTTGTGGAGCCATGCAGACACCTTTGTTTACATCATCAACATTGTCAAGTGACAGCCACAAGTCTTCTGGAACTTGGTGGTCATCCATTTTGGTGACTGACGACAACACCAGCCTATGTGAACTGTGGGATCAATTCCAAATCAGAAAGGGACACATCATGCATATATACTACAAAGTGCAGGGCTTCTCTGTAGCTTCTAGGAAGTTCCAGAGCACTCCCCGACTTTGCCTAATAAAGGGCACAACTGCATTAATTGGCTGTGACCTGCATTGGGAATATGATGGCTGTATGCATCATGCAAACACCACAGAGCTGGTTCTCACCTGTTTTGACTTGTAATGTCCATGTAAATATGCCAAGAATAATCTTCAAGAGGTATCTTCACTACTCTGCCAAATGGAAGGATCCATCTCTATGAAAGAACCAGTTCTTCCATACAGCTAAATCAATTAAAACATCTGTCTGTGACCACATCCACACTGCAACTTTGCAGCACAGCAATCTGTGATGCCAAAATCTGTTTTCAACTATCCATTTTGTCTCTGACAAGTGATAGGAAACTTATGGCTAGACCATGTAGAAGGATGGTCTGCTCAGATGGACAACACCAACATTCTCTTCCTTATGTATGAAGAAATGAAGAAGGTAAGGCTCAGCACTTTACTACTTGGTGTTAAAAACCATGCAAACCTAGCCAGGTTCATCAGGATGTCCAAGGTTGGGGAACAGTGTAGGCAAGGATGGCTGCTCAATATAAATGCAGTTCTTATGGATATTAAATAAATAACAACAGATTAAAACCTAAGGCCTTTCAAAACCAGTCTCCTTCACCACACCTGATTTTGCTGAAGAAATGACAATTTACATTTCCTTCACTGTTGAAGACATATAGCAGATTTTTCCTATGTCAATAGTGTCTCTTGAAATGATTGCTTAATGTTAACAGGTATGCTACAAGAAGTGGCAAGGGTCATAGCAGGAAATACATGGGATATTCTGATGGTCAGGAAGGTTAAATATAACTTTTGAGATACCAAAACAATACATTAAATAAGTTTAAGTAGCCACAAACACAAATATTCTAACTCAATACATTAAGAGTAGACAAGTATATAACATCAGACTAACATCACAAGATTCTGAGGTTTTCTAAGTGCTCACAAAATTGAGGGGTGTCTTTATTTTTTATCAAACTCTTACTGTCCAGCATTATTTGTAACAGTGATGCATGGTGTCATTTCTAAACCATATCCCATTTTAGGATCTGAGAAGCGCTGTATTGAAAATATGCAACTTCTTAGGAAAGAGACTAAGTGAAGAGGAGATAGATGATGTTGTGGATATGGCTTCATTTGGCAAAATGAGTGCAGATCGTAGAGCCAATTATACTACCCTATCCTCTGACCTCCTAGATTTCAGCAAAGGAAGCTTTCTGCGCAAAGGTAAGTCAGTGGCCAATGAAGGAAGTGTGGTAGTACTGATGTGAATCACCCATAGAAAGAATGTAATTTTCCAGTCATGGCCAGTCATGGGCATGCTTTCTTGTGCTGAATGATATGGTTCATTTGCAAGAGGGAGGAGGGCAAACTCCACTGATCCTGGAAGTCAATCTGCTGCCCCAGATCTTTCTAGGAGCTAGTGCCAAAATGTTAACAGAATGAAGGCTACTTCAGGTTGTTTTTTTTTTTTGGGGGGGGGGATTAGAAAAAGTTCAGAAGTGCAGGGTAGTTCTAAAATTGTTCAAATTGAATTGACACTCCAGCAGGCTGCTAAAAACATCAATCTACTCTTCTCTTTTTTGACCTGAAAAGAAATGCAAATTCTAATACTGAGGCTTTTCTTGGTTTTTTTTTATTGTACACCTTCAAGTCATTTCTGACTTATAGTGACCTTATAATGAAGTTTTCCGGGGCTGAGAGTATGTGACTAACCCAAGGTCACTTGTTAAGATTCCATAGCCAAGCAGTCTCCAGAGTTGTAGTCCAATATTCAAATAACTGCATCCTATGAGGAGCCAAATTAACCACACCAAAATCAATTTGGAGGTCACACTTTAATTTTGCATCCTTCGGTGAGACATAATGTCTGAAGAAACTAAATGAGCCACACCAGAAGCAGGTTGGGATTTTATGGATTTTGTATAACTGGTTTCCACATGCAAAAACTTTAGTGCCTAGAAAGATCATGACATCAAAACAGATGTGGGGCAGCAGATAATTTCACAATAATGGCATACCTATCATCATGAGTTCTCCACAATAAGAACTACCATCGTGGTTACAGTAATAGACACTAACCATCTCATTCATTTCCCTTTCTCACCGAATTCTGGACCAGGTACTATTGGAGACTGGAAAAACACAATGACAGTTGCACAGAATGAAAGATTTGACAGTGTTTTCAAGAAACGGATGGAAAAGCTACCCATCAAGTTCTGCTGGGATATCAATGATAAATTATGAATAAGGATGGACAAACCTGCCTCTTTTGTTTTTTTACAGATCTGTTTTAATTTGCTGAAGCAACAGATTTATTCCATTTTGTTTTCAAATCAGATACATTCAATAAGATAGCTGGTATGGCTTTTGTTTTAAGTTTATGTCAAAACTTTTATAAAAAAAACTTTCTAAAATTAGTAGATGTATGATGGCACACCAGGAAGATCTAATGAGAAAACTAAAGTTGGGGGGAATAATCTCCTGTTATCTTATGTCATTATATGGAAAATTCAAGGAGATAACTCTTGTACCTTTTTTTTAAAATGTTGTTTATTAAAAAATTCTCTGAAGATCTGTGGATAAGTTAAATGTTCTGAAACTTGATGGACTAGCAGTGGTAAATGTGTTCTACCAATGTAGCAAGCTTCTCCGCAATAGTTGTAAAAATGAGGGAGAAGGGAGCCCTGAGATTTCACCAATTATAGTAATGATGCACAATTAATATAACAAAAAAGTAATGACATTTTGTTATTTTCATTATAGTAACATTTTTTTCACTAACTATACTTTAGAAACACTTTAGAAACAAAACACCAGTACTCCCTAATTTTGTAATGACTTTTGAAACATTTTTATTAATTGCACATGCCTACTGTCTACCTTACAATATTTTAAAAAAATACATTTCACTTTCACATTTACTTAGTTGTCTCACATGCTCACAGTGATTTAATTGTCTTTAGTTTTGGGGGGAGTTGTCCTATGGGACTGTGTTTTATTTTTAGGCATTACACAGCCATCTCACTTGATGAAAGAAGTAAAATTATTCAACACAAAGAAAACAAAACAGTACTTGTTTGTCCCTGAATGCTGACCACATTCCAGTAGGTCTCCAAGGCAAGCCACTAGTGGCCTCTTTCAGCTGCAGCTGGCTCTTCCTCATTCATTCTTATGTCATTACACTGTTCGGTTGTAAGACCTGGTCAGTCGGCAACTCACATCAGTTCCAGATTGTCCCATCAGCCACAAATGTAACTGACTATATATTGCATCAGTCTCACATGATTTGCCTTGGCTTCAACTTTCATCAGCCATAGCTAGACTGTGACTTGTGGCTATCCTCCTGATAGTTCTAATGGCTCAGCCTTCTTGTTGGGCTACAGGTCCCATCATCCCCAGATGCAGCCCAGTAAGTAGGCTGAGTCATCTGACCAGAATGGACTCATATTATGTATTGTTCATTTATATTGGTTTTTAATTTCCTGAGTTGTTCTTGATTTGTTTACTGATTTGTTTACATATTACCATTGACATTGAATGTTTGCTATTTTGTATTTTGTTGTGAGCTGCCCTGAGTCCCTTCGGGGAGAAAGAGTGGGCTATAAATAAAGTTGCATTCATTCATTCATTCATTCATTCACTCAGTGAATGTGCCAGGTTTTGTCCAGTTCCATCAAGCTATGTAGCAGCCTTTTGGTTCAAATAAACATACATATATACATACTTTGACTTTTATATATACATACAGGCTTAAAAGAAGACTTTTATATATAGTTATAGGTCGGTCTCTCAACAAGATATTTAGAGAGGCTAAGGCCCAAAGCTTCCTTTACATGAGCCCTTCCAAACAGGCCAAACGTTTGAGAGGACTTGGGATTGTAAATCCCACTTCCTCTTGGGATGGAGACCACACAGCTGGCCCAAACCTCATGCTTTTGCAGGGGTTGTGTTTAGATTATTTATTTGTTTGTTTGTTTGTTTCCTGCCTGGAATTGCTTTGTTTTCTGAGTGTTGTTCTTTATTTACTGTCCTGATTTTTGAGTTTTTGAATACTGGTAGCCAGATTTTGTTCATTTTCATGGTTTCCCCCTTTCTGTTGAAATTGTCCACATGCTTCTCTGTGTAGTCTGACATGGTGGTTGTGACGACCAGGTGTTTAATTAGTTCAGAGTAAGCTAAGGGGCCTTCCACACACCCATATAATTCAGAATATCAAGGCAGATAACCCACAATATCTGCTTTGTACTGGATTATCTGAGTCCACACTACCATATAATCCAGTTCAATATGGATTTTATACAACAGTGTGAAAAGGGCCTGTGAAATCCCAGATTACTCTGGATTAATTCGGATTTACCTGAGGTATCATTTGGACACCTCAAGTAAATCTGAGACAAGTCCTGTATTTTGGGCCTCTCCGGATGGGGCCTCCATTGTATGTTCAGAGGACTAATTTAGAGTCCTTCCACACAGCCATATAACCCAGACTATCAAGGAAGATAATCCACAATATCTGCTTTGAATGGGATTATATGAGTCCACACTGCCATATAATCCAGTTCAATGTGGATTTTATACATATGTGTGGAAGGAACGTAACAGTCATTGGGAGACATTATCAGAGGGTGACAAACTGTTGCCTGGAATAGTTGCCTTGCACAAGCCACACTCTTTTTACTTTGAATTAGAGCTCTTCAAGACAGGTCCTATTTCCCAGGATCTGATCCCAAGTTTTCTGCTTTAAACTGGATTATATGAGTCAACACTGCCAGATAATCTGGGATAAACAGAAAACCTGGGATCAGATCCTGGTATATAGGGCCTGTCTATAAGTGTTAGGAAAAAAGTTTTTATAGATATGGAAAGAACTTCTGCTTTTGGACTATTTGTTCAAATATGCTCTTGACAATGTACCGCCCTGTTGCACAATCTCGGAGGTTGAAAAGGTTCAGATGGAAATGAACTTTATCTCTCTTTAGTTACATAACCATGATAGATTGGTCCTTATTGGTAAACCGTACAAGTGGAAAGCAAATACAACTCTCTCAAATTCTTTTACACTTTCTAATGTTAAACAGAGCTTGATTTAACTAGAGATCCAAGGGAAGTTTTTTTTAATTGCTCTGTTATGTCCTGGACTTCATATGTGCATATGCACATCTCTGGGGTGAATTTAAAAAACTACTGCCACATGTCTCCCGTCTGCCCTCCATCTTAATCTGCTTCAAAACAAACAAACAAAACAAAAAACAGTGAGAACAGTGGGGGACTATGCAGCCGGACTGACAGGTCTGTGTTTGTCCTGTGTTTTGACACTATCTGGAAGCACCCTTTGTCTCTTACTTAGGAAGCTGCATCTTTCTGGTTCATAGCTTCTCAGGTCCTGAAATGGGGCATGGTGTAGACAAAACACCATGAATAAATAAGTGAAGATCAGCACAGCTGAGTGATTTCATACTACATTGTCACACTAGGGCTTTAAAGTGGACAGTCCACATTTCTGCTGCCTGCAGCATTCTGGACAATACAGTTTGGGAAGGCAAGGAGCTTTATAGCTGAGAAATTTTTTTAACCCCACCCTAAACTACATTTTTCAGAATTCTGCTGGCAGCAGAAATGCAGGGCTGCCTGCTTTAAAGCCCTGGTGCAATAACATGGATAGATGTGAGCAGACTGTAAGAACTGTTTAATAAAAAAATAAATGAGATAATACCCATTTTTGGAGGCCTCAGATCAATCTCAAAATTTCATTATGTGAGTTTACCTTTAAGGTAGTATGAACAATTTTATTTGGTGGCTCCTTAATATTGTTTAAAAATTTATTGTTGCAGAATTTTGTAATTTTATTATGATGATTAAATGCATCCCATTAGTGGTATGTGCCAGCATAATTTTGGCATGTGTTTTTTAAAAAACAAACAAACATTATGATGGAAGGAATGAGACACTTGCCTTATACCAGGTATGTCCAAAGTCCAGCCTGGGGGCCAGTTGCGGCCTCTGTTCAAATTTCTGCTGTCCTGCTTAAACAGTGACTCCACAACTTCCTCAAGAGAGAGCTAGTGTCATGTCATGGATCCAGTAATGCATTAGAGCACTGAGAGGCTAGAGTTTGAATCCCCACTTCACTAAAGAAACCCACTGGCCAACCTTTTGCCCACTGGGCTTATGAAAAACATTTTTGTGAGAATAGTGAATTGCAGTAATATTGCTATGAAAAATATATTCTGAAACACTTCACAAAAAACTTTACAGACAGCCATTTTGGTGTCATCCAGTACGGCTTGCATGCCCTACAATCCCTTAGTGATGCAACTGCTCCAAAACAGCACATTTTTGTTATTATATATTTTTCTTTCTTATCTCTTAGCAGGTGAAAAGAATGACTAATAACCTACTTCAGGCTCTTAAAAAAATGAAGGGAAGGAAAGATGTCTAATGTAAAAAAAAATACTAGTAATTTTCTTACCTTTTTCTACTTCTTTTGATTTAGAAATCTGGTATTTAGCATATTCAGATCTGGGAATAAAGGGTGAAACTTGTACAATTCTTACAAAAATATGCCTTAAACTGGATGCATGTCCAATTTACTGACTGAGCATTTGATTTGACCTGAATTATATAACCCTGACTCCTCTTACTCCTGTGTTCATTCTTGGAAGGAAAGAGGAACTCCAGTGTTTGTATATTGCGGTTTATGTAATGATGGAACAGCCTATGTAATGATTTACCATGGTTCAGTCCTCCATTTAAATATAATAATTAACACTCCTTAGGAATATACTATTTAATAGCAGTCTTGATAATTGAAACAATCCAAACAGGATAAGATCCTTTGCTGACTTTAATGAACAAATCTCAGGAGGTAAGTGTTGTTTAAATATAGTTTTTTCTCCTTAGGAACTTTCTGGAACTGTACCATACATGCTTACAAAAGTAAGCAATTTCTATTCATTTAATACAAAAACATATCTGTTCATTCTATGAAGGCTGAATATTTGAATAATGGTACTTAGATTTAAGAGGATATTTGTGGCTGGGTACAAATTGGGAAAGAAAACAGTTCTGAGGAGTCTCACATATATTTGAATATGCATATACATACCTGCAATGTAAAGATATGTGCAATAGGCTATATGAAGAGCCTTAGTATGAACAGCTCTTGTTTAAGTTGAGGAAGGACTTTTATACCCAGACTTTGCACTTTTATGCCCAGAACATCAGCCAGGATGGTGAGCAATTATGGAATTTACTGTCTGAAAGGAAACAAACTATTCTTCTTGTAACTCACATTTTATAGGATTTGCAAGACAACACAAATGAAATTTTCTCCCATGTGGTATTTGCTCTTCTTTACCTTGTAGGTGGCAGACAGAACATTCATGAGAAGTGATAGGCATAATGTGCCAGGCATAAAGGCACATTATTTCTATTATCAATAATTACTACTGATTTAGTTTTTGGTTGCCTAAATCAAATTGTTACTCTGGTCAAGAGTAGACTCATTGAATCAATGGTACTTACTAAACAATTTAATGTCCTACTATAGTTGTGACTAGCTGTCAGATATATCTATTTATTTAGATAAGATCTAAACCTTGTCTTTATAAACAGTTATAATAATTCTAAATAATATCCTAAAATGTTTAGCTTAAAATAAAATTCAGAATTGTTCAGAATACCTTTTGGGAGGCTACTTTTAGAGCGAGGTGACTTTTAGAGCAAGACTGAATGATTCCTGCTGTTCCATGCTGTTCCCACAACACCAGAGAGTAGTGACATATCATCATGGAGGCCAATGGCTTTGCACAACTGCTGCCATTGTGTGATTGTGGTGCTATAGCTGTATGAAGAGCTCCTGAAATGTTTCTCATGAGAAGATGATAGACTGGCAACACTTACTGTATGACGTCATGGGATAGGCAACTACTTTGCCAGTTTTCCTCCTCTGTGTGATAAAGTCCAATCTACTATAAGTACAAATCTATTAGCAAGGAGTCAGCAAGTGTTATAACTTTGCAATGTTTGGAGAAATTCAAAAGCCTTAATGTATCCTGAGCTGGGAAGGTCCTCCTGTTCTCTCTCCCATGATGTCTCTGGTGTTTTTGATTTCTGAAGAATGGAAAACTGACTGAATTTCATGAACATTTTAAATTTTTTTAAAAAATCAATTTTTTGATATTACTTTGTTTCTCATTCTACCCAATTAGTTGGAAGAACATTTTTGTATTTTGCATTGTCCTGTCAACTGCCCTAGCAATGGAGCCATCAGATAAATACATGTTCAAACACAAGGAATACTATTTTGTACAAGACCTAGTTACACCTGAATATATTGATTCACTGGAGAATTTTGAAATCCGGGACAGTGATGTATTTCTGGTCACTTTTCCAAAATCAGGTAGGACTGGAAATATTTTACTTATAAAATATGACATTTTAATGATTTCATGTGAAATCTGGACAGAGTGTTTTAATTAAGGACTTCTTTACACATGCTGTTGGAATTGCCACAGATCATGGCAATTCTAGCAGTGCTTGTCTGGGGGTGTGGGGACCCCATTGCCCCATGCCCTGCATCACCCAACTCACTCACTCCACATCCTAGGTGGGGAATCATCTGCCACCTGACTCCCCCCTTTGATCCAAGGCAACACGGGAAGCCTATCATGTTGCTGCTGTGACAGCATGCACTGGTTTGACTTCCCCTTTAAGACGGAGCTCCACCAAAAGGTGCAGTGTGTCATGTAGTGGGAGCTGACAGGCTCTGTTGTAAAAGGGAAGGTGAACCGACATATGCCACCAAATTCACCCCCATCTCTTTACCTTCACATTTTGAAGGTAAAGAGATGGACATTGTGAAGAAGAAGACAGAGGGAAAAACTAATGGAAAAAAGGTCTTCGAGTGTGTGTGAAATAATGTCATTTTATGGAGATGCTTTTACTGGGTCCTCCATTTATATACATTTCTTATCATTGGAGGAGAATACTACGAATACAACAAATCAAAATCTGGTAGAAAAATGTTAAAGAAGCATAAAAAGAACATGAAGGTACACTGAAAGACATGTCTGAAGAAATTACAAGAGGACACTAGACATATTTAGAAGTATGGAGAGTAAACTGGGTGTTGCTGATAGTCACCAAAGAAAAAATGTTTTAAAATTTATTTGAAAATTTCAGCTTGTATCCATAAATTTCAGTTTGTAACCCACATTCTCATCTTCTAAAATTCTTCTAAAATTGAAATCAATAAATTCCTGACCTTCCACATCATCAGTTAAAATCAGTAACCAGGAACAGGAAGATCTCATAATTTCTTAATATTCTGTTACTCAGGCTTTCCCCCAAAATGAGCTATTAGGAAAGGCATTTTTAAAAAATTCTCCCTTAATTTGTCTAGCTACAATTACTTGTATTTCTCTTGAACAGTTTCAGTTGACATCCATTGTTGTGAACAAATGTTTAACTTTCCTCAGGCTGTCTAAACAATTTATAATCCCTTTTGTAATATCCAAAATATAGTTAAGTCATACATAAAATAAGGAGGAGAAACATCACTCAAGTGCTTACAGTGTTTGGAATTTTTAAAGTAATTGAAAAAAAATAGTTGGGTGCTTTGAAAAAAATTGATAAAATGCAAGTTATTTTATATACAAACGGAATACTCATGCTGCTTGTGTTTGAGATACTAGAATGATCATTCTTTTAGTGGAACATTTTTTGTTTTCATTGTTTTGCTAAAACATACTTGCAAGAAAATTGATAATGACGTGTCTGCCAGTGTTGACCTCCCTCCTTAAAAATAATTCCAAGATCCTTGATCCAGATGGACCAGGAAAGTATACCGGAGATAAATCATCCTTATTTGATTTATTTGACTAAAAAACTAGACATAATTTCCCCCTCACTTGTCAGAGATGGGCTCGTCTGACTGTACGTCTATGATCAATCAGCCAATTTTGGAAAGTAAACTGGAACACAGGGCTTAGAAGTCTCACTGAAATTAACAGGACTTATCATTGCAGGTTCACAACTAACCTAAATATCAGTTATTTCAATGGCCCTATTCTAGGTAAGGTAATATTAGTTTTCACCACAGAAATCCAGACTTGTGAGAATTGGTCCAGCAGCACTGAATTTAAATACAGAAATAGAAATTTGGAGCCCTTCCACAGAGCCATATAGCCCAGAATATCAAGGCAGAAAATCCCACAATATCTACTTTGAACTGGGTTAGAGGTCATAGAATGATCATGACAACCAAGGAGTGCTCAAAAGGAACATCCCAAGCCCTAAATTTCCTGAAAGCATATTGACATGTTGCCTTGTTGGCCAGGCACCACCAAAATACATCAACATCTAAAATCCACCAAAAAATGATACCCTTATTGAGCCAACTAAAAATTCACAAAATACTTCACGCAAGCTTTTCAAGTTACATTGGCTTCTTCATCAGGCAAAGGTTAAAATCAGAGAGGAGAAGGGGGAAGAAAACAACAGTCATCGGCCTATATTTCATCAAAGTGTTATTTTTGTTCTTGTTAATTAAAATGTGATATTTGTGAAAGCAAATATTGCTCCCTTCTTTTACTATGTGGATGCTGGGATACAAAGAGTTGTAAAATCCAGAAAAGACAATGTGAACTCCATTAGGAACAGAAATAGTAACCTTCCTTGAGATCCAGACTGTTTCCAACCTGAATGAGGCTATTCACCCCTTTCTTAGGCAGAAAACAGAAAGTATTTATCAAGATGCCTTTCTGTACTGTTGCATCTGGAAAAAAACTTTAGGTCCTGCCAGATATAGTTTGTAGTGGCCCATGTAGATAGCTAATGAGGATAGTTCACATTAGAACTATTCTACTGCCCAAATTCTGCCCTCATTGTGGGACTACTTCAGAGTTTTGACAGAAATTCTAGGGCATTTTCCAACTTTACTGAATGTAAGGCTTAAGTGGTTCAGCCCATTTTTCCCCATATTGCTGAACATCCAGGAGTGACTTCTGATTCACTTTCGATTTTATGGCTGGTGTAGACAAGGCTCACAATACATTCAATGAAAAATAGACGTGTTATTTTCTCTTATTTTACACTGAAAGTAAAAGGTACCTTGATGCCATGAATGAATTGTACCAGGTCATTTATATTTACACAGGAACCATATGGACTCAGAATATTTTGAGTTTGATTCATCATGAAGGTCATCGAAATAGAACTGAAGACATGGACCTTATAGACAGAGTTCCATGGCTGGAGTACAACATCCGCAATGTAGATTATGTTAAGCGCCCATCACCTCGTCTCTTTGCCAGCCATCTGCCCTATTGTTTACTGCCAAAGGGATTAAAAAATGGAAGAGGAAAGGTAAAGGCTAATACTTCTATCATTTCATTCATTTAATTTGTTGTCCCAATAGGGGAGGAGACAGTGACACAATAAGATAGCCCAACTGAAACATGCCCATAAATATTGTTCTCTACCAGCCAATTGCTGAATTGTTCAACAGACTCCCCTTTTTTATCGTCCTTTTTCTTTTTTTCCACTTTGGGCATAGAGCCTTTCTTGACATCTGTCTTAAGAAGTGAGAATATGGCCATGTAATAGTCATCCAAGATTTTCTCTCTCGTTTTCCTTTCTAAATTGATATCTAGATCCTTGTGATCATCCTAGACCCCTTTTCTCTTTTGTAAATCATTCTGGGACTCTTAGGTGACTGACCCCAGCTGCTTTTGCGCCACTGTCTCAAAATCTCACATCACATGAAATGACTGCTAATGCTGACTGTGATCCCTGCAACTCTACCTTCTCCAGTTTTGCTACAGCACTTCCAAGACGGCCATGCTACTGGATTCCCCACTATAAAATTTGATGGTCAAGATAGCTCACTATTAGTGATGCTCTTCTTCTGCTCCTTTGCTAGTGCCAGATCTGTCCAAGATTTTTAAAGTGAGTTGACAGTAGCTCCTGTGGCAAATGTACTTTTCCCAGCTGGTGACGCCTTTCTGCCAACTTCTTGCCCTGCACTGCCTCCATGAATATGCAGCTGGACTCTCAATGTCTACCTGATCATCCTGTTCCCATGACATTCCGAAAGCATCTGCTAAGCAAGTGGCGAAGCAGGGTTCTGTATATTCTCCCTAGCATGCATCCAGTTGGGCAGGCCAGCAATCAGCGAGCAATCTTTAAAAACATACTTTGGAGGCAAAAATTTGGGATAATAAACTTCCCAATCATTTTGCTCCATCTACATTTCTCTTTTTCGGCAGTTCAAAGGCTTTTGTAATTGACTGGGCTCTTTATCACATGCAGACAGTAGAGACAGTAAGGTCATGCAGGCAATTATTTTGAGCTACCAACATTGCCAGAACTACGATTCATTACATTAAAGATGAATAAAAATAATTGGAAACCAGATGACACTGGCAGATGAACTTGATTTAAAAGAAAGTCCTTTACTAGGAACAGTGTTTGGATTTGGGGTTTTTTTTTTTTGTCGTGTCAGGAGCGACTTGAGAAACTGCAAGTCGCTTCTGGTGTGAGAGAATTGGCCATCTGCAAGGATGTTGCCCAGGGGACGCCCGGATGATTTGATGTTTTTATCATCCTTGTGGGAAGCTTCTCTCATGTCCCCGCATGAGGAGCTGGAGTTGATAGAAGAAGCTCATCCACCTCTCCCTGGATTCGAACCTGCGACCTGTCGGTCTTCAGTCCTGCCGGCACCACTGTCCTGCCCCACTGCACCACTGGGGGGCTCCTAGTGTTTGGGTAATCAGAACATTTTACCTCATAAGATTTTTTAATATCATTGCTTCTGCAGATTATTTATGTGGCCAGAAACCCAAAGGATGTCTTGGTTTCCTATTATCACTTTTCCAAAGTTTCTAAAAAATTGGAAGAAGTGGAAGACTTTGAAGTTATTATGGAGAGGTTTTTGGCTGGTAAAGGTAAGCTTTGATAGAATTAAAATAGCCTCTTTTACTGTTTGCGCTTGACCAAAAGTTGAAATGTTGGATGAGAAATAATTTCATAAGGCCATATATATTGAACACAGACAAGAAGTAATGGACAATATATTAGGCAGAATAAAAATCTAAGTTTGACTTATTTAATATGGAAATACACATAAGAAAGAAGGACAGCTATGGGAATAATATACAGTTCCTAAGCAACTGACGATGACTGCATGCAGTCATGGAGATAGAATAAGGCTATTCACAGATCTTTCTGGTTCAGTGTGATTTCTACCCTGAAGTGAACTGGAAGCTGACTCACATAATAGGTGCAATTGAGTATAGTATACACTGAAATGTTTTGAATATTCAGCACCATGTTTCCGGGTCATTATTTATCAGTTAACTATATTCCCTGGTCTTCTTTTTTATGTTTAAATGAAAAGCACTGCACATCTCTGTACCTGTGCATTGGTAAATATTTACATCCAGGTAACAGCATAATAGTACTTAGAAATATTTTGGAGGAAAAAATGATTGTTGCCCAATTCTAGACCCCCTTGGAAGAATAGATCCACCCATTCCACTGAATATCAGTGTGGGCTTTATTTTTGACAAAACTATACAACATTAGTTGACACAAAAAGGTAAATTTGGGACTTCACACGGCAGTTGTTGGCAAAAGGGAAGGTGTGTGGGGTAGCTCATGGTGCCCTGAGCACCCTCCCTCTTTCCCCCATCATATAGTGGAGACGGGACAAGGCATGTCGGCACCCTGTCCCCATCATAGGGGAGAAAGGGTGGCAAGGTTATTGTGTGATGCACCTAGCCATACTGTCTATCACGTTGTCCCCTAATTTCTAAAAATATCTTTTTTTCCACAAAAGAACAATACATAAACCAACCTCCAATGCTGTTGCTAAAGTGGAGAGGCAGAGAAACATATTGCCCCATTTGCGCCTTCTATGTACAAGAAAAGATAGCAAGCCTTCCTTGTTCAAATATTTGTGCATAACAATATTGTACACTATCTCCTTTTTCATTGTGTTGGCCCATCTATTTAGCAAATATTATTTTGTGTGCATCCTTTCCTGTCTGCAGGGAGTGAAGAGGGGAGGAGAAGGAATCCCATCTCATGGCTTATAGTGACACCTGAGACACAATGAATTATAATGCCTCACTCCATACCATGACAGTGAGGATAGCTCTTCTATCTTCTTTCAAAATTGATGATAAGCACTTAGACAATCCGTTCCTCAGCTTTTGCGTGGATCACAACATCTTCTCTATTTGCCTCCATCCATATCTATTTTGAGTACGAGTTGACCAGTGTACCATTGTGTGACCATGTTAGTCTCTCCCTGTATATGCCATACAGAATGAATCAGACCATCAACTAGGAAGACAACCAAGAGGTCTCCCCCCCCCCCCCCCCGTGGGTGCCATGTTGCTGTGGCATTGCTCCAGCACCCATGTGTTCTGCACATCGTGTGGCCTGCAAAACTATGTTTAAGTTGGGCAACGTGGCATAGAGGATCTTTCACTTTTGATATTGAGGAGCCCCTAGTGGTGCAATGGGTTAAACCTTTGTGCTGGCAGGACTGAAGAACACAGGTTGCAGGTTTGAATCTGGGGAGTGTGGATGAGCTCCCTCTGTCACCTCCAGCTCCCCATGCGGGGACATGAGAGAAGACTCCCACAAGGATGGTAAAAATATCAAAACATCCAGGCATTTCCTGGGCAACGTCCTTGCAGACAGCCAATTCTCTCACACCAGAAGTGACTTACAGTTTCCCAAGTTACTCCTGACATGAAAAAAAAACTTTTGATATTTTTCAGACATTCTGGTGTTGCAGTCCCCATTCTCTCTGCATTCAGAGAGACATCTCAATAAGCCATCTTTTGAGGGAGACATGTGTGACCCATAGTTGTTCCGAGAGATCCTTCATCATTGTTCATGTCTCTGCCCCATAACATGGGAAAGATAGCATGGTCAAGTTGAACAATTGAGCTTGTAGAGATGTACTTCGGTTGAGTCCACAGCGGCTTTATGAGAATTGTAAATGGCCCATCTTGCTTTCCTGCATCTATTCAACTCATTCCTTGATGTTAGCAACCTTCCGAGGTAGACATATTATTCTATATTTTAGAGGTTGCTATCATCTACTGTCACTGCAGCACTATCTGTGAAGTTGTTTCAGAGTATCTTTGTCTTTCACGTCTTCATCTTCAATCCAATTTACCAACTTCTGCTAGAAAACTCACTAAGTATGTTGGAGGCTTCCGAGGCTGTATGCCAAAGCACAGGTGATTAAACCTGTGTCCACCTTTGTCCAACTAATTACAACCTCCTATTACACTTTCCAGTGCAGCAAAAAAAAAGATTAGATGAGATGGGATCACCTTGGTGTGAACATTTTTCTACAGGTATAACAACTTCTCATTCAAAAGGCATTAGCATTGTTGTATATCTTTCGTAGCATGCTTGGATGATGTTGATGTACTCTGCCTACACTCCTTGCTCCCTCAGATTGTTCCATATGCACTCTGAGTCCATGCTGTTGAATGCCTTCTCATAGTCAACAAAAGTGAGGATGAGTGGCACCTGGTATTTGCAGGCAGCTTCCAATATTCAATTAGTAGTCAGGATGTGATCAGTGGTGGAGAATGATACTCTATGCTGTACCTTCAGATAATAGGAAGGCTTCAGATAGTATCAGGAGGTCTTGTCAGATGCACAAGTGACTGGTCCTTCTTCTGCAGAGGACACATCTATAAGAGTAATGAAATCCTCTGATTTGGATCATCTTTGAATTCTACTTTGGTGTTTACACTCTTCTTCTGTCAGACCATGTCAATGAAAGAAACAGAGTTCCCACTGTTAAGTGCAGCTGAACCTGGTTTGATCCTGCTTGACAGTAACTCTTATCTTTGTTGCTGTTTGCCACCATATCAGTGGCATCTGAGATCCAGAAATCTTGTGTCCATAGTTTGGCACCTTTGATGATGCAAACAATCCCCCTACCCTCTTCTTCCCTTCTCCAATCCCGCTTCTATCTCTAATTATGAGAAAACTCACTAAGCATGTTGCTTTCATTGTCAAAGGTGCTGAGTGATGGCCACTATCCTTCTGGAATAGAGAGGTCAAAGATACAGTAATGAACAATAACATGGGATGGCAGCACTATCCCATGTGAACAGCAGGAACAGTTCCAAATGGGATTGCTCCCCTTCTTTCCACTTTCCTCTTGTTGAGCTATGCAGGCACCTCTGTTTACATCATCAACATTGTCAAGTGACAGCTGCAAGCCCTCTGGAACTCTGTGGTCATCCATTTTCGTGACTGATGACAACACCAGAGGGCAGTACTGGCTTATGTGAACTGTGGGATCAATTCCAAATCAGAAAGGGACCCATCATACATATATACTACAAAGTGCAGGGCTTCTCTGTAGCTTCTAGGAAGTTCCAGAGCACTCCCTGACTTTGTCTGACACAAGGTACAACTGTGTTAATTGGCTGTGACCTGCATTGGGAATATGATGGCTATATGCATCATGCAAACACAACAGAGCTGGTTCTCATCTGTTTTGACTTGTAATGCCCATGTAAATATGCCAAGAATCATATTCAAGAGGCATCTTCCCTACTCTGCCTAATGGAAGTACCCATCATGTTTAACAACAAGTTAAACATGAGCCAACAATGTGATGTGGCGGCAAAAAAAGCCAATGGGATTTTGGCCTGCATCAATAGGAGCATAGTGTCTAGATCTAAGGGAGTAATGCTCTCCCTCTATTCTGCTTTGGTTAGACCACACCTGGAATATTGTGTCCAATTCTGGGCACCACAATTCAAGAGAGATATTGACAAGCTGGAATGTGTCCAGAGGAGGGCGACTAAAATGATCAAGGGTCTGGAGAACAAGCCCTATGAGGAGTGGCTTGGGGAGCTGGGCATGTTTAGCCTGAAGAAGAGAAGGCTGAAAGGAGATATGATAGCCATGTATAAATATGTGAGAGGAAGCCACAGGGAGGAGGGAGCAAGCTTGTTTTCTGCTTCTGGAGACTAGGACGCGGAACAATGGCTTCAAACTACAAGAGAGGAGATTCCATCTGAACAGAGAGGAAGAACTTCCTGACTGTGAGAGCCGTTCAGCAGTGGAACTCTCTGCCCCGGAGTGTGGTGGAGGCTCCTTCTTTGGAAGCTTTTAAGCAGAGGCTGGATGGCCATCTGTCAGGGGTGATTTGAATGCAATATTCCTGCTTCTTGGCAGGAGGTTGGACTGGATGGCCCATGAGGTCTCTTCCAACTCTTTGATTCTATGATTCTATGATCTCTATGGAAGAACCTGTTCTTCTAAAGAGCTAAATCAATTAAAACATCTGTCTGTAGCCACATCCAACAGTAAATCTGCAGCACAGCAATATGTGTTTTCAGTTATCCATTTTATCTCTTAAAAGTGATAGGTAACTTATGGCTTGACCATGTAGAAGGCTGGTATGCTCAGAGGAACAACACGAATATTCTCTTCCTTACATATGAAGAAATGAAGAAGGTAAGGTTCGGCACTTTTCCACTTGGTGATAAAAAAAAAACTATGCAAACCTAGTCAGGTTTGTCAGTATGTCCAAGGCTGGGGAACAGTGTAGGCAAGTGGGGCTGCTCAAAATAAATGCAATTCATATGGATATTAAATAAATAACAACAGATTAAAACCTAAGGCCTTTCCATATTAGTCTTCTCCTTCACCACACCTTGCTTTGCTGAAGAATCAACCATTTACATTTCCTTCACTGTTGGAAACATGTAGCAGATTTTTCCTGTGTCAATAGTGTCTCCTGAAATGATTGCTTAATGTTCACAGATATGCTAAAATGAGTGGCAGGGATTGTAGCAGGAAATCTATGGGACCCTCTGACTAAAAGGTCAGGAATACTAAATATAACCTTTGAGATACTGAAGCAATAAATTAAATAACTTTAATTAGCCACAATTAAAAATATTCTAACTCTATACATGAACAATAAACAAGTATATAAAATTGGACCAACATTAAAAAGATTCTGAGGTTTTTTAAGGGCTCACAAAATGGGGGGGGGTGTCTTTATTTCTTATCAAACTCCAGTATAATCTGTAACAGTGGTGCATGGTGTCATTTCTAAACCATATCCCATTTTAGGATCTGAGAAGTTCTGTATTGAAAATATGCAACTTCTTAGGAAAGAGACTAAGTGAAAAGGAGATAGATGATGTTGTGGATATGGCTTCATTTGGCAAAATGAGTGCAGATCGTAGAACCAATTATACCACTGCACCCTCTGACCTCCTAGATTTCAGCAAAGGACGCTTTCTGCGCAAAGGTAAGTCAGTGGTTAATGAAGGAAGTGTGGTAGTACTGATGTGAATCACCCCTAGAAAGAATGTAATTCTCCAGGCATGGGCAGACATGCTTTATTGTGCTGAATTATATGGTTCATTTTTAAGAATTTAAATTAGAGGACGGCAACTCCACTGAGTCTGGAAGTCAATTTTCTGCCCAAGATCTTTCTAGGAGCTGTATAAAGTGCCAAAATGCCAAAGTAAACAGAAAGAAGGCTACTTCTCTCTGTGTGTTTGTGTGTGTGTGTGTGTGTGTGTGTGTGTGTGTGTGTGTGGGCGGGCGGGGGGGGGGGGGTGTTGGGGGTGCAGGAACTTCAAAAAAGTTCAGAAATGCAGGGTAGCAAGGAAATTGTTCAAATTGAATTGACATTCCAGCATGATGCCAAAAGAATTAATATACTCTTTGCTTTTTTGACCTCAAAACAAAAGTTAATGCTAACTCTGAGATTTTTTTTTATTGTATACCTTCAAGTAATTTCTGACTTATAGTGATCATATCACTATAAGTTTTTGTGGCAGAAAGTATGTGACTCATCCAAGGTCACCTGGTAAGATTCCATGGCCAACCAGTCTCCAGAGTTGTAGTCAAATATTCAAAGTATTGCATCCTAAGGAGAGGCATAATATCTGAAGGAACTTAAGGAGCCACACCAGAATCAAGTTGGGATTTTATGGATTTTGTATGATCAATTTCCATATGCAAGAACTTCAGTGCCTAGAAAGATTGTGGCATCACAACTGACATGAGGCAGCAGGTAGCTTTACAGTAATGGTGCATCTGTCATCATGAGTTCTCCACAATAAGAATTACCATCCAGGTTATAGTAATACACACTAACCATTCCATTCATTTCCCTTTCTCTCTGAATTCTGGACCAGGTACTATTGGAGACTGGAAAAACACAATGACAGTTGCACAGAATGAAAGATTTGACAGTGTTTTCAAGGAACGGATGGAAAAGCTGCCCATCAAGTTCTGCTGGGATATCAATGATGAATTATGAATAAGGATGGACAAACCTGCCTCTTTTGTTTTTTACAGATTTGTTTTAATTTGCTGAAGCAACAGTTTTGTTCCAATTCGTTTTCAAATCAGACATTCAATAAGATAGCTGTTGTGGCTTTTGTTTTAAGTTTATGTCAAAACTTTTTTCAAAAAAACTTTCTAAAATTAGTAGATGTATGATGGCACACCAGGAAGATCTAATGAGAAAACTAAATGTGTCTGGCTATTTTCCCAGTGACCATCGGTATGCCCTAAATTACTTTAATACCTCAAAATAAAACACTAGAGACAAGACTAAATTCAACAATTGTTTACTAAATAATCAAGGTATAAAAGTGCAGTTTGAATAGTGAAATATAATTTCTGAGGTAACAACTATAATTTCTATGAGGTAGATATAACTACTAACTATGGCATATTCTATAATCTATAAACACTAATGCATGTATGGCTATATCTATTCTTTATTACATATACTATAAACTCTAAGGCAAATACAACTGTTAACTATTACATGTATATGAACTATCTATCTATAATCTATAAACTTTGGCAAATATGTGTTAAGGATGGCCTGTTCAAATTGCTAGGCCAGACCAGACACTATCTGGCTAACTAACTTCAAGCTATGACCAACAAAGAGTGGAGCCAAAAAGTCTTTCACCACGCTCTGAGGCAGAATGGGCTGAACCAAAGAGCTCGGCCTATAGGGGGATCCTAAGCTCCTACTCTAAAACTTGGCAGAATGGAGCAGTCCAACTACAGGGAACAAACAGAGAGGTAAAAACTAGGCCGAGACATCACAGGATGTATGAATATTCCTGAAAATTGGGGGGGGGGGGATAATCTTCTGTTATCTTATGTCATTATATGGAAAATTCAAGGAGATAACTCTTGTAGCTTTTTTAAAAAAATGTTGTATATTAAAAAATTCCCTGAAGATCTGTGGATAAGTTAAATGTTCTGAAACTTGATGGACTAGCAGTGGTAAATGTGTTCTACCAATGTAGCAAGCTTCTCCACAATAGCTGTAAAAATGAGGGAGAAGGGAGCCCTGAGGTTTTCCCAATTATAGTAATTATGTGCAATTACTATAATGAAAAAGTAATTAAATTTTGTTATTCTCATTATAGTAACAATTTTTTCACTAACTATACTTTAGAAACACTTTAGAAACAAAACATCAGTATCCCCTAATTTCAATGACTTTTGAAACATTTTTATTGATTGCACATGCCTACTGTCCACCTTACAATCATTTATTTTTTTTAAAAAAAAAATTACACTTCACTTTCACATTTACTCAGTTGTCTCACATGCTCACAGTGATTTAACTGTCTTTAGTTTTGGAGGGAGTTGTCCTATGGGACTGTGTTTTATTTTTAGGCATTACACAGCCACCTCACTTGATAAAAGAAGCAAAATTATTCACCACCAAGAAAACAAAACAGTACTTGTTTGTCCCTGAATGCTGACCACATTCCAGTAGGTCTCCAAGGCAAGCTGCTAGTGGCCTCTTACAGCTGCAGCTGGCTCTTTCCCATTCATTCTTAAGTCATTACACTGTTTGGTTGTAAGACCTGGTCAGTCGGCAACTCACATCAGTTCCACATTGTCCCATCAGCCACAGATGTAACTGACTGCATATTGATTTGCCTTGGCTTCAACTTCCATCAGCCACAGACCTAGCTAGACTGCAACTCGTGGCTGTCTTCCTAATAGTTCCAATGGCTCAGCCTTCTTGTTGGGCTGCAGGTCCCATCATCCCCAGGTGCGGCCCAGTAAGTAGGCTGAGTCATCTGACCAGAATGGAGTAATTATGTGGATAATATTATATCTTGTTCATTTATGTTGGTTTTTAATTTCTTGAGTTGTTCTTGATGTGTTTATTGATTTGTCTACATATTACTGTCGGCATTGAATGTTTGCCATTGTGTATTTTGTTGTGAGCCGTCCTGAGTCCCTTCGGGGAGATAGGATGGGCTATAAATAAAGTTTCATTCATTCATTCATGCATGGGAAAGACAAGGCTCTCCAAATATGGTTGGGCTCCAACTTCCATCATCCTCTTCACCTCACATACCCAAGCAGTACTTTTTGCTGGACCAGGTGTTTAATTAGTTCAGAGTAAGCGGAGTAGCCTCCTACACAGCCATATAACCCAGACTATCAAGGCAGATAATCCACAAAATTGGCTTTGAACTGGATTGTCTGAGTCCACACTACCATATAATCCAGTTCAATATGGATTTTATACAACTGTGTGAAAAGGGCCTGTGAAATCCCAGATTACTCTGGATTAATTCGGATTTACCTGAGGCATCATTTGGACACCTCGAGTAAATCTGAGACAAGTCCTGTATTTTGGGCCTCTCTGGATGGGCCCTCCATTGTATGTTCAGCGGACTAATTTAGGGTCCTTCCACACAGCTATATAATCCAGAATATCAAGGCAGATAATCCACAATATCTGCTTTGAACGGGATTATATAAGTCCACACTGCCATATAGTCCAGTTCAATGTGGATTTTATACATATTTGTGGAAGGAGCCTATGAGTCATTGGGGGACATTATCAGAGGGTCACAAACCTTTGCCTTTAATAGTTGCCTTGCACAAGCCACACTCTTTTTACTTTGAATTAGAGTACTTCCAGACAGGTCCTATTTCCCAGGATCTGATCCCAAGTTTTCTGCTTTAAACTGGATTATATGAGTCAACACTGCCAGATAATCTGGGATAAATAGAAAACCTGGTATCAGATCTTGGGATATAGGGCCTGTCTGGAAGGGCCCTCATTTTCTCTCACGATTCCTTTCAGACAGCACCAAAATCCATATTTTAGAACGGAGTCAAAAAATCCTGGGACCTGACAGCAAGTCCACACTCAGACCTGAAGAACAAAATGGAGGGTAGATGGGGGACATCTGGCTGAATTTAAAAAAATAAAATCCCACTATTATTTGCTGGACCTATATGTGCACATGCAAATATCTCAACATAAAAAGCCAATTCGCATGTGTGTATATGAGGTTCAGCACACAACAAAGGGATTTTTTTTTTAAAAAAACTTCTGTTGGATTTATCTCATCTCCAATTGTTAATTCAACCTCTGTTTAAGATTATAAAGCATACAAAAGAGTTTCAGAGAATTCTAATTGCTTTCCATTTATGCTTCTTCCCATGAACCACCTGTGTGTCCGTTTGACAACCCCATCAGCTGTTTCAGGCTTCTAAAAAGCTCTGGAGCAGTCTACACAGGAGGGAGTGAAGGAAAGCATGTGTTTTGCCTGACTGAAGGGATATACAGTCATGCAAAGGTGTGCTTTTTTCAGGCTGAATTGGGTTTTAAGTGCACTTAAAAACACATGCTTTTTAGCTCTTAACCTGATCATAGAATCATAGAATCATAGAGTTGGAAGAGACCTCATGGGCCATCCAGTCCAATCCCATTCTGCCAAGAAGCAGGAATATTGCATTCAAATCACCCCTGACAGATGGCCATCCAGCCTCTGTTTAAAAGCTTCCAAAGAAGGAGCCTCCACCACACTCCGGGGCAGAGAGTTCCACTGCTGAACGGCTCTCACAGTCAGGAAGTTCTTCCTCATGTTCAGAAGGAATCTCCTTTCTTGTAGTTTGAAGCCATTTTTTCGCATCCAATCTCTAGGGAAGCAGAAAACAAGCTTGCTCCCTCCTCCCTGTGGCTTCCTCTCACATATTTATACATGGCTATCATATTTCCTCTCAGCCTTCTCTTCTTCAGGCTAAACATGCCCAGCTCCTTAAGCTGCTCCTCATAGGGCTTGTTCTTCAGTCCCTTGATCATTTTAGTTGCTCTCCTCTAGGCACGTTCCAGCTTGTCAATATCTCTTGTGGTGCCCAGAATTGGACACAATATTCCAGGTGTGGTCTAACCAAAGCGGAACAGAGGGGTAGCATTACTTCCCTAGATCTAGACACTATGCTCCTATTGATGCAGACCAAAATCCCATTGTCTTTGTTTGCCGCCTTTGCCGCCACATCACATTCCTCCCACACTTTGGCTAAATGTTGTTTAGCCGCCGCCACCCCCTTTTAACCCATTTATTTCCAGGTTTTACAGCATGTGTAGAAGCATCCTCAGGCTAAAAGGAACGCACTGGTACAAATATTTCTTTTGGTCATCGTCTCTCCTTTAAAAATACATTTTGATACATTGATTGCTTCCTTGACAAATGAAGAAATTTGACGATGGTTTTCAGAAATGTGCTATTTTGGCCTCATGCTGGGCATCATGCTGGACTTTTTTTCTGGAGGAATTCTGCTGCACCATGGGGTGACATTTTCTAATGTTTTTGTGATGGCTATCCAAGTTTTCCTGCTATGGTTCATGAACTAACCACTTTAATGAGAACAGATGTAGCATCTTTTGAAGCTAAGCAAATAGATTCCTAGTACTTGGTTAGCAATAGCACAGCCTATATAGATCTGCATCACAAAAACCCATGCGTTAAAGACCTTAAAAAACCTTTTCTGTTATCAGAGTAGATGGCTTTGACATTTCATGCACTGCAAAGATAAAGATCACTAACATGTTTCCTGCAGTTAGCTAAGTTGCGGGTTTGTGATTAGTAATCAGAAGGCTTTGATATTTTGTAATTTGCCATATAAAGTGTTAGGAAAAATGTTATATAGATATGGAAAGAACTTCTGCCTTTGAACTATTTGTTCAAATATGCTCTTGACAATGTGCCACCCTGTTGCACAATCTCTGAGGTTGAAAAAGTTCATATGAAAATGGACTTTGTTGCTCTTTAGTTACATAACCATGATCGATTGGTCCTTAGTGGTAAACCGTACAAGTGGAAAGCAAATACAACTCTCTCAATTTTTTTTACACTTTGTAATGTTAAACAGAGTTTAATCTGCTTCAAAACAAAGAAAGAAAACAAAAAACAGTGAGAACAGTGGGGGGCTATGCAGCCAGACAGACAGGTCTGTGATTGTCCCGTGTTTTGGCGCTATCTAGAAGCACTTTTAGTCTCTTACTTAGGAAGCTGCATCTTTCTGGTTCATAGCTTCTCAGGTCCTGAAATGGGGCATGGTGTAGATAAAACACCATGAATAAATAAGTGAAGATCAGCACAGCTGAGTGATTTCATACTACATTATCACACCAGGGCTTTAAAGTGGACAGTCCACATTTCTGCTGCCTGCAGCATTCTGGAAAATACAGTTTAGGAAGGCAAGGAGCTTTATAGCTGAGAATTTTTTAAAACCCCACCCTAAACTACATTTCTCAGAATTCTGCTGGCAGCAGAAATGCAGGGCTGCCTGCTTTAAAGCCCTGGTGCAATAACATGGATAGACGTGAGCAGATTGTAAGAACTGTTTAATCTATATAAATAAAAATGTAATGTTCGTTTGTGGGATTAACAGAACGAAAAAACAGAAAACTAAAAAACAGAAAACACTCATAGGGTTTGGTGAGTATTGACCTTGAGTTTGGGAGTTGTAGTTCACCTACATCCAGAGCGCACTTTGGGCTCAAGCAATGATGGATCTGGACCAAACTTGCCACGAATATTCCATATGCCCAAATATGAACACAGATGGAGTTTGGGGAAAATAAACCTTGACATTTGGAAGTTGTAGTTACTGGGATTTATAGGTCACCTACAATCAAAGAGCATTCTGAACCCCACAAATGACAGAATTGGGGCTAACTTCCCACACAGAACCCCCAYGACCAACAGAAAATACTTAAGGCCATGCAGTCCAACTMCCTTCACCAGGGCAAGAAAATCTAATCCTGACAAAGAGCCATCCAGCCATAGATATAGATAGATATATATGATTGACACACAGAGAGATATAGTATCATAGATTTGAAAGGGAACCCTAAAGAAGGRMAGTGATATRTYGCATATTCYAGAGTASGCAAACCAGACACTCTCCAYATCAAMRCTGACAAAGAAACAAGAAGAAATATYRTTTACCTACAAGCATAAAGAAATTACATAGATTAGAAACCATTACTTTCTTTTCCAGCTCACGAGACTGGGCCACAGCAACGCGTGGCAGGGGACAGCTAGTCTATATAAATAAAAATGTAATGTTCATTTGTGGGATTAACAGAACTCAAAAACCACTGAACAAATTGACGCCAAATTTGGACAAAAGACGCCTACTAACCCAAGGAGTGATCACCACTAAAAAAATGATTTTGTCATTTGGGAGTTGTAGTTGCTAGGATTTATAGTTCACCTACAATCAAAGAGCGTTCTGAACTCCAACTACGGAATTGAACCAAACGTGGCACACAGGACTTCCAAGACCAACAGAAAACAGTAGAAAGGTTTGGTGGGCATTGACCTTGAGTTTTAGAGTTATAGTTTACCTATACCCAGAGAGCACTGTGGACTCAAACAATGATAGATCTGGACTAAACTTGGCACGAATACTCCATATGTCCCAATGTGAAGACAGAAGGAGTTTGGGGAAAATAGATCTTGACATTTGGGAGTTGTAGTTGCTGGGATTTATAGTTCACCTACAATCAATGAGTACTCTAAACCCCACGAGAGACAGAATTGGGGCAAACTTCCCACAGAGAACCCCCATAACCAACAGAAAATACTTAAGGCCACCCAGTCCACCTCCCTTCCCTAGGGTAAGAAAACGTAAACAAAGCCCTCCTGACAAAGAGCCATCCAGCCATAGATATAGATAGATATGATTGACACACAGAGAGAAATATAGTATCATAGATTTGAAAGGGACCCCTAAAGAAGGACAATTATATATTGCATGTCCCAGAGTAGGCAAACCAGACAATCTCCACATCAACACTGACAAAGAAACAACAAGAAATACTGTTTACCCACAAGCATAAAGAAATTATATATATTAGAAACCAACACTTTCTCATTACTTTATTTTCCAGGTCACCAGACTGGGCCACAGCAACGCGTGGCAGGGGATAGCTAGTTAAAAATAAATGAAATGATACCCATTTTTGGAGGCCTCGGATCAATGCGAGGTTACCTTTAAGGTAGTATGAACAATTTTATTTGGTGGCACTTTAATATTGTTTAAAAAATTACTGTTGCAGAAGTTTGTAATTTTATTATGATGTTTAAAGGCATCCCCTTAGTGGTATGTGCCACCATAATTTTGGCATGTGTTTTTTTTTAAAAAACAAACAAGCAAACATTATGATGGAAGGAATGAGACACTTGCCTTAAACCAGGTATGTCCAAAGTCCAACCTGGGGGCCAGTTGTGGCCTCTGTTCAAATTTCCGCTGTCCCGCTTAAACAGTGACTCCACAACTTCCTTAAGCAGGGACTGCAGAGAGAGCTAGTGTCATGTCATGGCTGCAGTATTGCATTAGAGCACTCAGAGGCTAGACTTTGACTCCCCACTTCACTAAAGAAACCCACTGGCCATTTTTTTGCCCACTGGGCTTATGAAAAACATTTTTTGTGAGAATGATTTGCAGTAATATTGCTATGAAAAAAATATTCTGAAACATTTCACAAAAAACGTGACGGACACAGCCATTTCAGTGTCATCCAGTGAGGCTTGCACGTCCTACAATCCCTTAGTGATGCTACTGCTCCAAAACAGCACATTTTTGTTATTATATATTTTTTCTTCTTATCTCTTAACAGGTGAAAAGAATGACTAGTAACATACTTCTGACTCTTAAAGAATGAAGGGAAGGGAAGATGTCTAGTGTAAAAATACTAGTGATTATCTTTCCTATTCCTACTTATTTTGATTTAGAAATCTGGCATTTAGCATATTCAGATCTAGGAATGAAGGCTGCAACTTGTACAATTGTTACAAAATATATCTTGTATTTAAGCTTATTTAGTTTGAAAAAGCAATAAACTGGATGTACTTGATTTGACCTGAATTATATAACCCTTGACTCCTCCTTCCTACTCCTGTGTTCATTCTTGGCAGGAAAGAGGAACTCCAGGGTTTGTGTACTGCAGTTTATGTAATGATGGAGCAGCTTATGTAACGGTTTACCAAGAGCCAACCCTCTATTTAAATATTATAATTTACACTCATGAAGAACACAGCAGTCTCGATAAACTGAAATAACCCCGCAGGAGAATATCCTTCTCTGAGTTTAACACACAAAAAAATCTCAGGAGGTAAGTGTTTAAGTGTTACCTTATAGATGCTCTTGGTAGAAGGATGAAAAGATCTACCTGTTACTATACAGGCCTGGAAGATGGGGCTCTGAGCCTCGTCCTGTGACTTTCTTGTCTCAAAACTGCTGGTAGATGAAAATTGTGATACTAGATGTAGCTCTTTTCTCCACTGTCTTTTTTGGTGCCTTTATTTTTCACTCTCTTTCCATGCAGTCCTAGGTTTCTTTATTCTCAGAATTTTCCCATTTATCTTCATTCACAGAATATTCTTCTTAAACTTTTCCTTGGGAAATTTTCTTCTTAGGGACTCTCAGGAATTGTACTATATATGTGTAAGCAATTGCTAATCAATTAATACAAAAACATATCTGTAAGCTGTATATTTGAATAATGATCCTTAGATTTAAGTGGATATTTGTGGCTGGGCACAAATCAGAAAAGAAAACAGTTCTAGGGAATCTCACATATATTTGAATATACATATACATGCATGCAATGTAAAGATATGTGCAATGTGCTATATGAAGGGCCCTCATTTGAACAGCTCTTGTTTAAGTTGAGGAAAGACTTTTATATCAGGGCTTTGGACTTTTATACCCAGAAACATCAGCCAGAACAATGAGCAATAATGGAAGTTACTGTCCAAAAGCAAATGAACTATTCCTCTTGTTACTCACATGTTATAGGATTTGAAAGACTCCACAAATGAAATTTTCTCCCATGTGATATTTGCTGTTTTAAGAAGATTTCTTTATCTTGTAGGTGGCAGAGAGAACATTCTTTGCTGCTTTGAGTCCCTCTAGGGGTGAGAAAAGTGGTATACAAATACTGTAAATAAATAATAAATACATTATTTGTATTGTCAAGAATTACTGCTGATTTTCTGTGGCCTAAATCAAATTGTTGCTCAAGAGTAGACTTGTTGAATCAATGGTACTTGCTAAACAATTCAGTGACCTACTGTAGCTGTGGGACTAGCTGTCAGATATATTTATTTATATAAGATCTAAACCTTATCTTTTTCATCAGTTGTAATAATTGGGCCATATCCTAAAATGTTTAGCTTAAAATAAAATTCAAAATTGTTCAGAATACCTTTTGGGATGATACTTTTAGAGCAAGATTTAATGCTTGCTACAGTCCCACACTATTCCCACAACACCAGAGAGCAGTAAGTTACTGCTCATGGAGTCCGGTGGCATTGCATAGTTGCTGGCATTGTATGATTGTAATGCTGCAGCTGTATGAACTGGCACTTCCAGGTGGGTAGTGTAACGCTGACCTCCCACTGTGCCTCTTCCCCTATTTTTTCTGTTTTTAATCTTAGAGAGAGAGTAGTATGCAGATTCATCATAAGTTCTGGGGTTATTGATGAATTTTCCAGTCAATAGTTCCTGACACTTTTATCATGAGAGGGTGACAGACTGGCAACAGTTATTGTTTGAAGTCATGCAGACTACTTTATCAGTTTTCCTCCTCTCTGTGATAAAGACCCTAATCTATTATATTATATTATTTATTTATTTACAGCTTTTATATTCCACCCTTTTCACCCTGCAGGGGACTCAGGGAGGATTACAGTGTACACATATATGGCAAACATTCAATGCCAATTTTAGACATACAAACATATACAGACATACACAGAGGCTATTTAACTTTTTCTGGCCACCAGGGGAGCTGTCACTTTCATCATCCATCTGCGACGCTGATGAAGCACTTCCGCATTCCCGCATGCTTCCCCGCTGGAATGCTTTGCTGGAGTCTTCTTTATGACCTCATAAATCAGTTAATTTAGCCTCCCTACTTTAAGGTGGTACCTAATTTTCCTACTTGACAGATGCAACTGCTTTCGGGTTGCAAAGGTCGACAACAGGCTACACACAATTGGTTGGAAACCCACTCCAACCCGGGCTGGCTTTGAACTCATGACCTTTTGGTCAGAGTGATCTTAATGCAGCTGACACTCAGCCAGCTGCACCACAATCCCGGTGCTTATAAGTACAAATCTATTAGTAGGTAGTCAGTAAGTATTATAATTTTGCAATATTTGGAGGAATTCAAAAGCCTTTTGTGTCCTGAGCTGGACATGTCCCCACATTCTCTCCCGGTGTTTTTGATTTCTGAAGAATGGAAAACTGACTGAATTTCATGAAAATTTAGAATTTTTAACAAAAAACAATTTTCTGATATTACTTTGATGTTTCTCATTCTACCCAATTAGTTGGAAGAAAATTTTTGAATTTTATGTTATCCTGTCAGCTGCACTAGCAATGGAGCCATCAGATAAATACATGTTCAAACACAGAGGATACTATTTTGTCCAAGACATGACTACACCAGAATGCATTGATTCACTGGAGAATTTTGAAATCCGGGACAGTGATGTATTTCTGGTCACTTTTCCAAAATCAGGTAGGACTGGAAATATTTTACATATAACGTATGGCATTTTAAATTATTTCATATGTGTTTTAATTGACTGATTCATTTATTCACATATTGAGGGTAAAGAGATGGACGTTGTGAAAAAGAAGACAGAGGGGAAAACAGATGGGGGAAAAAGATTCTTGGAGTGTATGTAATTTATTTCAGTTTATGGATGTGCTATTACTGGCTCCTCTATTTATATAAAGTTCTTATGATTAGAGGAGAATATTATGAACACAAGAAATCAATATCTGGTAGATGAAGTTAAAGAAGCAGAAAAAGAACACGAGGGTACACAGAAAGTGGTGTCCAAAGAAATTGCAAGAGGAGACTAGACAAATTTAGAAATATGGAGAGTTGTTGTTGATAGTCACCAGAGAAAGAATATTTGAAAATTTCAGTTTGTAAGCATAAATTTCAGTTTGTAACCCACATTCCCATCTTCTAAAATTTATCTGATATAGATGTCCTCCCATATTTACCATTTCACTCATCATTAACCAGGAAGAGGAAGACCTCAAAGTCTAGTATTTATATAGTAAGATCATAAGTCCTTAATCTTCTGTCACTATTAGGAATGACATTTTTTAAAAATTCTCCCTTCATTCATCTAGCTACAGTTACTTATATTTCCCTTGCACGTTAGCTTGTACAGTTTTAGTTGACATCCATTGAGGAGAACAAAGGTTTGATTTTCCTCAGACTTTCTAAACAATTTATAATCTCTTTTATAATAACCAAAGTATAGCTAAGTCCCATGATTACTTAAAATAAAGAAGGAAAACATTAACCAGGGGCTTATAGCATTTGGAAATTTTAAGGTAACTGAAAATAAATTAGTTGGGTTCCTTTGAAGAAATTGATAAAATGAAAGCTACTTTATATACAAACAAAACAATCATTCTGCTTGTGTTTGACATCCCAGAATGATCATGACAACCAAGGAGTGTTCAAAAGGAACCTCCCAAGGCCTAAGTCTCCTGAAAACACATGGATAGGTTGTCTTGTTGGCCAGGCAGCAACAAAATACATTAGTATCCAAAATCCACAAAACAATGGTACTTTTATTGAGCCAACCAAAAATTCACAAAATACTTCATGCAAGCTTTTCAAGCTCCACTGCTTTCTTCATCAGACAAAGGTGTTAAAATCAGAGACGAGAAGGGAAAAAAATAATAAGTCGGTGGCCTTTATTTCAACAAAATGTTATTTTTGTTCTTGTCAATTAATATGTAGGCATACTTCACTCCCCTCTTTTACTATACTGAGTTGTAAAATCCAGGCAAGAAAATATCAACTCCATTAGGTACAGAAATAGTAACCTCCCTTGAGATTCAAACTGTTTCCATCCTGAAGAATGAAGAAATGAAGAAGGCCAATCACCCCTTTCTTAGGCAGAAAAAAGTATTTATTAAAATGCCTTTGTACTGTTGCATCTGGAAAAAATCTTTAGGTGCTGCATATTCGAAAAGCACCACTTTTTTCTCCCTGGTCATGAAGGCACCTTTACTGGTGTCAGCAAAGGTGCCCTGCAACAGTCAGGAGTTCTCTGGAGCTCTGTGGCCATGTGCTGTGGTGTAGAGCATGACATGGTCCCAATCTATTCCATTTCCCTAGTCCTGCCAAATATAGATTGTAGTGACCCATGTAGATAGCTAATGATAGTTCACATTAGAGCAGTTCTGCTATCCAAACTCTGCCCTTAATGTGGGACTACTTCAGAGTTTCATCAAAAATTCCAGGGCATTTTCCAACTTTACTGAATGTAAGGCTTAAATGACTCAGCCCTTTTTGCCCCATATTAAGGACTGGAAGTTCCTAGACATCAGCTGAACATCCAGGAGTGACTTCTGATTCACTTTGGATTTTATGGCTGGTGTAGACAAGGCCTACAATACATTCACTGAAAAACAGACACAATATTTTCTCATATGTTACACTGAAAGTAAAAGGTACCTTGATGTCATGAATGAATTGTACCAGATCATTTATATTCACACAGGAACCATATGGACTCAGAATATTTTGAGCTTGATTTATCATGAAGGCCATCGAAATGGAACTGAAGACATGGACCTGGTAGACAGAGTTCCATGGCTGGAGTACAACCTCCGCAATGTAGATTATGTTAAGCGCCCATCACCTCGTCTCTTTGCCAGCCATCTGCCCTATTGTTTACTGCCAAAGGGATTAAAAAATGGAAGAGGAAAGGTAAGGACTGCTACTTCTATCATTTCGTTCACTTAATTTGTTGTCCTAACAGGGGATGAGACTTTTCTTTAAAGAATCTACAGAACATTTTCATATTGGAGTGAGAAGAACACTATGGCCCCATAAATGATGGGTATGTGTGCCAAGTTTGGTCCAGATCCATCATCAATGGGGTCATAGTGCTCTTTGCATGTGGGTAAACCATACTTCTCATTGTCCAGGGCAATCATCCCCACCTCAAAAACATCCACCAGCATGTAAAGTTGGTCATGAGAGTTAAGTGTGCCAAGTTTGGTCTATTGCCATCATTAGTGGGGTTTGCAGATCTTTCAGTGATCAGTGATGTTGGGTATGTGTGCCAAGTTTTGGTTTAGATCAATTGCCAGTGGAGTTCACAGTACACTCTGGAAGTGGGGGCCATCTTGGAAAATACACACATACATACATTTCATCTATATAGATTAGAACGAAAAGACATAAACCCTTTACCCTTTGTATATGGGATCTGACCCATACTAACCAAAGTTTATTGTTGATGAAATCCCATTTTGCTTTCATTTTTGTGGCTGTTTTTCTAACTTCTCTCTGGCTGGTGATGCCTTTCTGCCAACTTCTTGTCCTACACTGCCTCCATGAATATGCAGCTGGACTCTCAATGTCTACCTTATCATCCTGCTCCTATGACATTCTGAAAGCATCTGCTAAGCAAGTGGCAAAGCAGGGTGCTGTGTACACTCCCTAGCATGCATCCAGTTGGTCAGGCCAGCCAAGGAATTCACATTACACAGGGTTCTTTTCCTCTTGAGCAACCAGTCTTTAAAAGCATAACAAGAGAAAAGAAAAGAAATTCCTCACTTGCTTTACTTTATGTTGGAGGAAAAAATCTGGGGTAATCTGGGGTAATTGTAATTGACTGGGCTCTTTATCACATGTAGATGGTTCAGTCATGCAGGATTTTTTTTTTAAAAAAAATAAAGCTACCAACATTACTATTACTAAGAACATTGTTCGGGTAAACAGAACATTTTAACTCGCAATTTTTTTAAATATTGCTTCTGCAGATTATTTATGTGGCCAGAAACCCAAAGGATGTCTTGGTATCCTATTATCATTTTTCCAAATTTTCTCAAAAAATGGAAGAAGTGGAAGACTTTGAAGTTATCATGGAGAGGTTTTTGGCTGGTAAAGGTAAGCTTTGGTAGAATCAAAATAGGAAGATATTTTGCCTCTTTTACTGTTTGACCAAAAGTTGAAATGTTGGATGAGAAATAATTTCATAATGCCATACATCCTGAACACATATAACAAGTAGTGGGCAACATATTATGCAGAAGAAAAATCTTAAGTAGCTTTATTTAACATGGAAATTCACATAATTAATGTCAATACAAAGGAGGACAGCTATGGGAATAATACACCATTGCTAAGGAACTGACCATGACTGCATGGCATCCAATCCTGGAGAAAGAGTAAGAAGACCACTCACAGATCTTTCTGGTTCAGTATGATTCCTACCCTGAAGTGAACTGGAAGCTGCCTCTCCAAACAGGTGCATTTGAGTATAGTATACACAGAAATGTTTTGAATATGTTTCTGGTTCATTATTTATCAGTTCACCATATTACCTTGTCTTCTTTATTACGGTTAAAGGAAAAGCACTGCACATCTCTACCTGCGCATTGGTAAATATTTGCATCCAAGGTAACAGCATAATAGTACTTAGAAATATTTTGGAGGGAAAACGATTGTTGCTCAATTCTAGGCCCCCTTGGAAGAATCGATCCATCCAATTCACTGAATTTCAATGTGGAATTTATTTTTAGGTCTACCTTCAGCCTGGATTCTGTCCCTGGTTTGAACCATCTCTTACTGGCCTAGTGGGTTTCCTTTATTTGGAAAAAGATCAAGGGGATATAATGCTGTTACTCAGTTTTCATTCAATGTAGTTTCAAGCTACTTTTGAAGAAAGTGGTTTCACTGTGCACATCATTCCATAGAAAATCCTAAAATGACTTTAAGGCCTGGATAATGAATACATGGACCACAGAGCATTGATGCACATTAAGGGCTTTCTTTCATGTACTTTTGTGAGAGTTTGTTGTCTGGCCTCCGCAGTTTGAAACTAGCTTTAAAGTGCATTAAAGGGTCACTGTAGATGGGGACTTAGTGGGTTTATATACCACTAACCACAAAAACCAACTGGACATCTCTAGACATCACTGGTTGTTAGTTGCAGGACCAGTTACAAAAAATAGCATTGAGATGATTACCATACTTTGCACATTTCATAGGATGATAAAACACAATAATGCTTGGTAGAAATGAAGACAGTAGAGGAAGACTGAATTACAATTCCATAGATCCAATCAAGGAAGCCATGGTCCCGAATTTGCAAGATCCTGGGTTGGATGTGAACAAGAGGGAGTCTTTTAGGGCCTTGCTGTTTGAGGTAAGTGTGAATGTTGCAATTGGCCAGCTTGATTAGCATTGAATAGCTTTGCAGCTTCAAACCCTGGCTGCTTCCTGCTGGGGGAATCCTCTGTTGGGAGGTGTTAACTGGCCCTGATCATTTCCTGTTTGGAATTCCCTGTTTTCTGAGTGTTGTTCTTTATTTACTGTCCTGATCCTAGAGTTTTTTTTAATACTGGTAACCAGATTTTGTTCATTTTAATGGTTTCCTCCTTTCTGTTGAAATTGTCCACATGCTTGTGGATTTCAGCGGGTTCTCTATCTAGTCTGGCATGGTGATTGTTCGAGGGGCCCAGCAGTTCTGTGTTCTCAAATGATATGTTGTGTCTAGGTTGATTCATCAAATGCTCTGCTATGGTAGGTTCATCTATTATGATGAACTCACCTGGACACAGCATATTATTTGGCATGGCTATTCAATGCTAATCAAGCTGGCCAATTGCAACAGTCACACTTGTCTCAAACAGACAAGAGTTCTTTCTCCCATGCTGGACATTCAACAGATATATAAATCCCACTTGCCTAGTTTCAAACAGACCTCACAACCTCTGAGGATGCCTGCCATAGATGTGTGCAAAATGTCAGGAGAGAATGCTTCTGGAACATAGCCACACAGCCTGGAAAACTCACAGCAATTCTGATTCCAGCCATGAAAGCCGACAACACAGAGTTCCAACTGTTAAGTGTGGCTGAACCTGGTTTGATTCTGCTGGACCTTTGTCTTTGGTGCTGTTTGCCACCATATCAGAGGCATCCAAGATCCAGAAATCTTGTGACCATAGTTTGCCACCATTGATGATGCAAGCAATCCTCCTCCCCATTTCTAACTTCCTCCAAACCCCACCCCCTTCCTTCTCAAAGTCACTTTGCTTACAACGAGCACTAACCACAATCCTTCTGGAACTCAGAGACCACTACAGCAGCACACAATAACATGGAATTACCGCATTTCCCCAAGTGAACAGCAGGAACAGTTCCAAATCAGTTTGCTCCCCTCCTTTCCACCTTCCCCTCGCTGAGCCATGCAGACATCTCTGTTTACATCATCAACATTGTCAAGTGACAGCCATATGTTCTCTGGAGCTCTGTGGTCATCCATTTTGATGACTGACACCAGAGGGCAGTACTGGCCTATGTGAATTAGTACATCTTAGAAACATACTATAAAGTGCAGGGTTTCTCTGTAGCTTCTGGGAAGTTCCAGAGCACTCCCTGATTTTGACTAACACAGAGTACAACTGCGTTTTTTGGCTGTGGCCCGTATTGGGAATATAATGGCTGTATGCATCATGCAAACACCACAGTGGTTTTCACCTGTTTCAACTTTAAATGTCCATGTAAATATGCCGGAATCATCTTCAAGTGGTATCTTCCCTACTCTGCCTAATGGAAAGACCCAACTCTATGGAAGAACCAGTCCTTCCACTGAAGTAAATCAACCAAAATATCTGTTTGTGACCACATCTACACTGTAATCTTTGCAGCACTGCAATCTGTAATGCCAAAATGTTTTCAACAATCAATTTTGTCTCTTACAAGTGTTAGGTAACTTATGGGTAGACCACGTAGAAGGCTGGTCTGCTCAGATGGACAACACCAACATTCTCTTCCTTATGTTTGAAGAAATGAAGAAGGTAACGCACAGCACAGCTTTTCCACTTGGTGTTAAAAAAACATGTAAACCTAGCCAGGTTCGTCAGGATGCTCAAGGATGGAAAACATAGCAGGCAAATAGGGCTGCTCAGTTCGTATGGATATTAAATAAATATCAACAGATTACAACCTAATGCCTTTCCCCATCAGTCTCCTCCTTCACCAAACCTTACTTTGCTAAAGAGTTAACTGTTTATGTTTACATTTCCTTCACTGTTGAAGACGTGTAGCAGACCTTTCCTGTGTCAATAGTGTCTCTTGAAATGATTGCTTAATGTTCACAGATATGCTACAATGAGTGGCAAGGGTCATAGCAGGAAATACATGGGATATTCTGATGGTCATCATTGGTCAGGAAGGTTAAATATAACTTTTGAGATACCAATAATACATTAAATAACTTTAAGTAGCTACAAATACAAATATTCTAACTCAATACATTAAGAGTAGACAAGTATATAACATCAGGCTAACATCACAAGATTCTGAGGTTTTCTAAGGGCTCACAAAATTGAGGAGTGTCTTTATTTCTTATCAAACTCTTACTGTCCAGCATAATCTGTAACGGTGCATGGTGTCATTTCTAAACCATATCCCATTTTAGGATCTGAGAAGCGCTATATTGAAAATATGCAACTTCTTAGGAAAGAGACTAACTGAAGAGGAGATAGATGATGTTGTGGATAAAGCTTCATTTGGCAAAATGAGTGCAGATCGTAGAACCAATTATACCACCCTATCCTCTGATACACTAGATTTCAACAAAGGACGCTTTCTGCGCAAAGGTAAGTCAGTGGCCAACAAAGAAAGGGTGGTAGTACGGATGTGAATCACCCATAGCTAGTTACACAGAAAGAAATTTCCAGGCATGGGCAGACATGCTTTATTGTGCTGAATGATATGGTTCATTTGTAAGGATTTAAATTAGAGGAGGGCAACTCCACTGAGTCTGGAAGTCATTTTTTTTTTGCCCCAGATCTTTCTAGTGCCAAAATGCAAAGATAAACAGAAAGAAGGCTCCTTCTGTGGGTGGGTTTTTAGGGGGAGGGACTTGGAAAAAGTTCAGAAGTGCAGGAAACTCTGAAAATTGTTCAAATTGAATTGACACTCCAGTAGGCTGCCAAAAGCAATAATTGACTCTTCTCTTTTTTGAACTAAAAAGAAAAGCTAATGATAATGCTGTGGTTGTTTTTTTATTGCATTCCTTCAAGTCTTTCTTGACTTATAGTGACTCTATCATGGGGTTTTCTGGGGCTGAGAGTATGTGACTCATCCAAGGTTATCCAGTAAGATTCCATGGCCAAGCAGTATCCAGAGTTGTAGTCCAATATTCAAACTACTGCATCCTATGAGGAGACATAATATCTGAAGGAGCCAAATGATCCACACCAGAATCAAGTTGGAGGTCACACTTTTATTTGAGGTTTTCTGGATTTTGTATGACATGCAAGAACTTCAGTGCCCGGCAAGTTTCTGACATCACAACAGACGTGGGGCAGAAGGTAGTTGGATAGTAATGGCACACCTATCATCATCAGTGCTCCACAATAAGAATTGCAATCCTGGTTATAGTAATGAACACTAACCACCCCATTCATTTTTCTTTCTCTCTGAATTCTGGACCAGGTACTATTGGAGACTGGAAAAACACAATGACGGTTGCACAGAATGAAAGATTTGACAGTGTTTTCAAGAAACGGATGGAAAAACTGCCTTTCAAGTTCTGCTGGGATATCAATGATGAATTATGAAAAAGGATGGACAAACCTGCCTCTTTTGCTTTGTACAGATTTGTTTTAATTTGCTGAAGCAACAGATTTGTTCCAACTTGTTTTCAAATCAGGTTGCAAATTTTGTTGGGTAAAGTGGACATGATTTTAATAGAATTCTCATAAAGCCCAGATTCAGAATGCCTTTCCCAAATATACACATATTTGAAGAGAACTGGTGGGCATAGGAGAATTTTAAATTCTCTATTTTCATGATGTACAATTTCATGTCCATTTTTTTGTTTTTTCATTTAGACAGAGACAAAAGTCAGATCATTGCAAGGTTTAGCAGTGGTTCTCAACCTATGGATCCTCAGATGTTTTGGCTTACAACTCCCAGAAATCCCAGCCAGTTTATCAGCTGTTAGGATTTCTGGGAGTTGAAGACCAAAACATCTGGGGACCCACATGTTGAGAACCACTGGTTTAGGGGATTGCAAAGGCGAAAACAATAATAATCTTACAGATTGTGTATTGTTTAAAATGTGATTCAGTTCAGATCCCATAAAAAAGTGAACTGAAGGATATCTTCACCACCACTAATGAGGAGCCAATGCCAAGTTAAAACAGGAACGGATAAAATGTCATTCTTATATTTGGTGTAATGTTCAATGCATTGCAATAAGATTACAAAGAAAGAAAGATTAATTTCATTATGGATTTTATATTGTTTCAAAATAATGAGATTTTTCCACGATCACTAACAATTAGTGCATTGTGACTTAAAAGATAGCAAGATTATGCTATGGATAACTTTAATCCATGTTGCTTGGAAATAGGTGTGAGAACAAAACTTATTAGAATAATACTATAATTCTGAAATACAATGAATAAACATATATGTTATTATTACACTGGCATATCTCCTTCTTCCTAAAAGTATTATCTTTGTGCCTTCAGAAATCATTTTAAAGTAGATTTCTGGCAAAAATGTAGATTGAGGAGAAATAATCTTTTTTAAAAAAAAAATCACTCCATGTGAACTACAGACCTGATTTAAAAATGGGAGCTTATGCATTTGTTGCAATGGGCATCTTACATGTTGTTTCATATTTCACACAACTGAATAAAATCCCGCATTCTCTGTTTTGAACTGGAATATATGACAGTGTGGACTCAAATATCCCAGTTCAAAGCAGATATTGTGGGATTTTTCTGCCTTGATATTCTGGGTTATATGGCTATGTGGAAGGGCCCTGAGACAGGTAATTTATTATCTCTATTACTGTTGCTTCCTCTTTTTTTCCTCTTTCTTTTTTTATTTCTCTCTCTCTTGATCATTTTAGTTGCCCTCCTCTGGACACATTCCAGCATGCCAACATCTCCCTTCAATTGCAGTGCCCAGAATTGGACAAAGTATTCCAGGTGTGGTCTGACCAAGGCAGAATAGAGGGGTCGCATGACTTGCTTGGATCTAGACACTATACTCCTATTGATGCAGGCCAAAATCCCATTGGCTTTTTTTAGCTGCCATATGACATTGTTGGCTCATGTTTAACTTGTTATTCACATCATGAGAATTCGAAGATTTTTTTCACACGTACTGCTGTTGAGCCAGTCATCCCCCATTCTATATCTTTGCATTTCATTTTTTCAGCCTAAGTGGAGTAATTGATCCTGCTTAATCAAATATCCAAGCAGTCAATTCTTCTCTTGTAAGTCTTCTCTTGTCTGCAAATGGATGGATTCCCATAAGGCAATGGGAATAACTGGACAATGTTATAACTAATAACTGGATAGATATGGCCTAATATTACCATTGATGACGGTGGAACCTACTCCTCCTTGGGGCCTCATATCCATACCCTAAGACAAGTACCACCTCTTGAGTAGGTTCCCCAGTCAGTCATTGTATGGACACAGGATAAAATTACCAGTTTTGTCCTACTTTGTCATCCAGAAATGCTCCAAGGCTCCTACAATTTTCTTACATGTCATGTGAAGCAGCCTTTATCTGGGGACCTGCATTTATCACTCTCTGGATTTTCCCACTTTACATCACCACAGGCATGTAGCCGGGGGGGGGGGCTTGAGGGGCTTCAGCCCCCTCCCCTGAAATTCTCATGGTGGTCCGCAAGAAGGCCTTACTGGTACATTATTTAAACTGTTACATTTATTCATATCATGATCTGATCACCATGCTCAATATATCCCATATGCATGGGGGTATTGGGGTAACGATACAAAAGGTTTGCTAGGGTAGACCCTCTTTCACTCAGACTCAGCCCCCCCCCCCCCCGAATCAAACTCAGCCCTCCCTGCATCACCATATCCTTTGGCTATTCCTTTGGGAGGCGCTGCGTGACTGCCCACAGAGCATATAGCCTGGGATCAACATCACTGTATTGCCTTCACACCTGCCTCCCATGCTATGATGTAACTGCCATTCTACCTTAACAATGAAACTGGCCTTGTGGAAATAATTGATTATGTTTAGAATTGCTGCAGATTACAGGAAAACTATTACTAAAGAACATATCATTCTGTCCTGTTTGAAGAGGATTTATGTTTTTTCACCCATTTATGTGCTGTATTTTTCAGTCAATTCATGGAAATAAAGAGGGAATGTGTAATCTGAGAGGCAATGATCTACTAAAGATTACCTTTTCATTTAACTAGTTGGGCCAGTTCAATGGGAAAAGACCTGGGTTTAATGCAGTATCAAATTAAATTGGGAAGAGCAGGATTTTCCTGCTTTGTCCCGAATTAATTCGGTTTTTACCGGAAACATTGTTTAGATGTCTCCAGTAAAACCATGGGAGTTCCCACATTAGGGGCCATGTGTGGAAGGGCCCTTGGATGCTATAAAGAATAACATGACCCTGAGAATGTATTATTTATAAGCTGTGGCTTGGAGAAGCCAAAGATCAGCCTTGATAGAGAGATCATTCGGAGTTTCGGAATGTTATCTCTACGCAGATAATGTCCAAATCTGTCACTCCTTTCCACCTGTCACCAAGGAGGCTGTCCAGACCTTGAACCGGTGTTTAGCTGCTGTATCGGACTGGATGAGAGCTAACGAATTGAAATTGAATCCAGACAAGACAGAGGTCCTACTGGTCAGTCGTAGGCCGAACAGGGTATAGGGTTACAGCCTGTGTTAGACAGGGTTACACTCCCCCTGAAGATGCAGGTTCGCATCTTGGGAGTGATCCTGGACTCATCGCTGAGCCTGGAACCCCAGGTCTCAGCGGTGGCCGGGAGAGCTTTCGCACAATTAAAACTTGTGCGCCAGCTGCGCCCGTACCTTGGGAAGTCAGATCTGGCCACAGTGGTCCACGCTCTTGTCACATCCCGGTTGGATTACTGCAACGCACTCTACGTGGGGTTGCCTTTGAAGACTGCTCAGAAACGACAACTAGTCCAGCGAGAAGCAGCCAGATTGCTCACCAGAGCGAAGTACAGCGGGAAGCAGCCAGATTGCTCACCGGAGCGACGTACAGGGAGCACACCACCCCCCTGTTACATCAGCTCCACTGGCTGCCGATCCAATTCCGAGCACAATTCAAAGTGCTGGTTTTAACCTACAAAACCCTATACGGTTCCGGCCCAGTGTATTTGTCCGAACGGATCTCCCTCTACATCCCACCTCGAAATTTAAGATCGTCTGGGGAGGCCCTGCTCTCGACTCCGCCACTATCACAAGTGAGGTTGGCGGGACGAGGAGCAGGGCCTTCTCAGTGGTGGCCCCTCACCTGTGGAACTCACTCCCCGGGGAGATTAGATCAGCGACTTCCCTTCTGATGTTCAGGAAAAAATTGAAGACCTGGATATGGGACCAAGCTTTTGGACATGCTGGCAGCTAAAGGAAGATCTGACGACAAACATGGATGGATGGAATGGAATGGATACATGGAACTCTGAATACTGAGCATGAGATTGTTTTGTTATTTTATTATGTACTAATGTTTTTAATTTGTTAACTGTTTAAATTGTTGTAGGTATCGTTTGTTTATTGATTCAGGCATCGAATTGTGCCGTTGTTTGTAAGCCGCCCTGAGTCCCCCCTCGGGGGTGAGAAGGGCGGGGTATAAGTAATTGAAATAAATAAATAAATAAATAAATGAAATATTTCAGAAAACAGAATAACGTTTTCTGACTTAGTCTGAGGACCCTTTCACACAGCTATATAAAATCCACATTGAATTATATGGATTATATGGCAGTGTGGACTTAGATAACCGAGTTCAAAGCAGATATTATGGATTATCTGCCTTGATATTCGGGTTATATGGCTGTGTGGAAGGGCCCTGAAATAGGTCCAATTATATCTGAACTTGTTCCACCTCAAGATTAAGATATTTTGCAATAGGGTAACTCATTTTTCAAATGCATTTGAACAAATAGTCCAAAGGGAGAAGTTATTTGAGTTCTCACAGAACGTTCTGTCCAGATACTTTAGATATCTAAAGCATCTGGACAGAATGTTGCAATTATTAATAGCTGAACTTGGATCAAGTCAGGAAACATGTTACTGAACTTCGTCTCTGTAGCCCAAGGCCATTCACTATGATAACAGAAAATGTTTTTTAAGGTCTTTAACAGATAAATTGTTTTAAGCTGCAGATGTATAGCTTGTACTGCTATTAACCACTGAACCATTTCTTGTATCATCATCTACAATTTGTATATATAGCACACACAAAAAAGTATGCAATCAATTTTTTAAATTAAATGGCTAATGTTTTTTTTTCACAATTTAGATTGCACACAGAGGTAGGAGTTCAGTTTATAGTTCCTACAATTTCAGATGTACTGCAACCGTCATCATCATCATCATCCTTATCACCTAAAGTGTAGAATCTATTCAGTTTGACACTACTTTAACTACCATAGTTCAATACTATGGAATCTTTTTGGGGGGGGGGGGGTTGCAGACAACCAGTGTAAAGGATGACTTAAGAATGAGCAGGAGTGAGATTTCCATTATAATGTGGATGTGATCTTCTCCGAGCTACAAAAATTTGCCTTTTCACATTAGACAATGTGGGAGATCACTGACTTCTCCAAAACAGTTGTGTCACTAGAGCTGGTGTCACCCAGTTCATGATGTAACCTTCATGGACCTCCCCCTACACCAGACCATGCCACAACATTGTAGCTAAAATACCAGAACATTTGACAAGATCAATGAATCCTCAAAAAAAACCCCATCAGTGCTTGGAGTATATGCAGTGGAAGCCATATGATTTGATTTGTGATTATAAGGGGGTAAAATGGCAAATATACTAGACCACATTAGTATTAGAAGACTCAAATAGTAAAACAGCATAAGGTTTCAGCCTTGTAGGTATAAATACAGTCATTTTTTGTTTGAACTTTCTCTTCCTTTGAATGCAAGTTCATAACAGACATGGCAAGTTCAAGTATTTTGTAGCCACTCTGGTCATCACCATGATTTGATTTCCTTATTAAATTTTCATTCTCTATTTTTAGATGATCAGCCTATAAACATCAGCCAGCTTTCATAGCCTCATTGAACCTGCAAAGTACTTCATTCATTCCCACTAACAGCTTTGTAGTATCATTCATGCATGCAGTCTCCTTATATCTTTCTATATAATGGAAAAACCAGTTGCTCCACTTTCTCCTTATGTTTTGTTTCCACTGGTAGTTATACATTATATATCTTTGCTCCTTTTGTCAACACACAAGAAAAAGCGAGGAAATAAAAATGGAGATAAGAATAAAAGATAGAGAAATGTAGGAGCAAAGTTAAATGTGTCTGACTAATACTATGACCAGGACATATGCTATAAAGAACATGTAACCTGGTCTTACAAAAATGTGTTTGTAATTGTTGTTGTTGTTGTTGTTGTTATTGTTGTCTTTATTTATACCCCACCTTTCTCCCTGTGGGGACTTAAGGCAGCTACCACTCCACACTGGACATGTTCAAAAACTGCAATACAAAACTTAAAAAGCAATTAAATAGTAAGTGGAAGCACAACAAGGAGGGGGCCATTCCAGCTTTCCTGGGCAGGGAGTTCAGAGTTGAGGGGCAGCCACCAAGAAGGAAGGCCTGCTCTCTTGTTCCTACCAACCAAGCTTGAGATGAAGGTGCCATCAAGGGAAGATCTTAGGACAGGTTTGTACAAGGGGATGTGGTCAGCCAAATAACCTGTGGTCAGCCAAATAGGGCTTTAAACATCATAACCAGCAGTTTGAATTGTGCCCAGAAACAAACTGGCAGTCAGTGGAGCTGCTGCAGCTTTTTGGACCACCTGAAGTTTCTGAACAATCTTCAGAGGCAACACCACATAGAGTGCATATAGTACTCCAGACGGGATCTAACTAAGGCATATATCACCATGGCCAGATCTGGCTTCTCAAGGAATGGGTGCTGTTGGCACACAAATTTAATTATGCAAAGACCCTTCTAGTCACCACTGGTTCAGGGCTCAGTCCAGAAGGATCCCAAACTGCGAACCTGTGACTTAAGGGAGAATTGACCTCATCTAGCACAGGCTGAGTCTCTATTCCCTGGTCTGCCTTCCGACTGACCAGGAACACCTGTCTTACCTGAATTAACTTTCAATTCGTTTGCCCTCATACAGTCCATTACTGGTGACAGGCACTGGTTTAGGGTCAGGACAGCTTCCTTGGCTTTAGGTGGAAAGGAGTAGTAGAGTAGTAGCATACAGTTGGCACTGTACTCCAAAACTTTGGATGACCTCTCCCAACAGTTTCATGAATATGTTAAACACTATGAGGGACAAAATGAAACCTTGAAGAACCCCACAGGTCAATGGCCAGGGGTTTGAACAGGAGTCCCCCAGCAACTCTTTCTGGGTACGGTCCTCCAGGAAGGACCGGAGCCACTGTAAGACAGTGTTTCCTGGTCCCATCCCAGAAGGAATCCATGGTCAATGGTATCAAAATCCTCTGAGAGATTAGGAGAACCAAGGACACACTCCCCTGTCTAGCGTAGGTCATCAACCAAGGTGACCAAAGCTGTCTCTGTTCCATAGCCAAGCCTGAAACCAGATTGAAATGGATTTAGATGATTTGTTTCATCCAGAAATCCCTGGAGTTGAGAGGCCACCACACACTGCATAACCTTGTTCAAAAAGGGTTGTCCATTATAGAGGGGTTCAAGGATGGCTTTTTAAAATATAGGTCTCACAACTGCCTCCTTTAGGCAACTTGTAACTTTGCCTTGTTCCAATGAGACATTAACCATCACCTTTACCTACTCTGCCAGTCCCCCTCAGATCTGTAGCTATAACTAACTATGGTGAGATTTCTTTTGAAAATAATATATTTCTGCTGAAAATAGGCAGCAATTTTGTTGTTGCACAATGCAGTGTTTTTGAGGTGTGGATTCAACAGGGTCATTAGTGATTACAACCATAGAACCCCCTAGAGCAGTGGTTCTCAACCTGTGGTCCCCAGATGTTTTTGGCCTTCAACTCCCAAAAATCCTAACAGCTTGTAAACTATCTGGGATTTCTGGGAGTTGTAGGCCAAAAACATCTGGGGACCCCAGGTTGAGAACCACTGCCCAAGAGTCTCTTGGAATCTCAAAGGGTCAATTAGTCTTCAAGGGCAGACCATTTTAATAGGCCATCCACTCCTGCAAGGGTAGGATACAAGCCCTGAGCAGAAAATGGTTTGTCCATTACATATCCAGTAGGTGCTGCAGATCTGCTATTACTGCTTCTTCAGCAGCTGTGGTTGGGGTGTATATTTGGATCACTGTGATGTTAAATGGCTTGTCTTGAACTCGAATTGAGATCATTTTGTCATTTTGTGGATTGTATCCAAGCACTGCTTTAGCGACTTTATTATTAATTATGATGGCTACTCCATTTCTTCGGTGTGTACATTGGATTAAAACAAAACAGTACAGGAACAAATAAACAACCAAAAACAAACAAAGGAAAATATGAGAGACAAATAATAGATATTAATATAGCAACATTTTAACCCTACATGTCAATGGATGTGTCCCAGTCAATCAGGCTAAATAGTTGGCTTATCCAGCAGCACCGTACTCCTGCCAGGGACAGGGCGCCATGTTGTGACCTCACTACAACTGACATTATCAGCAAGGGAGCTGCATTTGGTCAGCAATGCATTGGCTATAGTAGTGGCTTGAAAGCATTCTTGCCTTAGCAGACACCAAAAGGGCTCTGAGGCTCTGAGGATGCTCCTTGTGCTGCATCAGAGCAGCTCCATAGCACATTACTCCAGATAATTTTGGCTTGTATCAATGAAGGTTTTGTGGCCATGGTAAACTACTGTGTGTAGCTTGATCAGATGCTTAGCACAAGTGTTGGTTATTAATGATTTTAAAATATTCAGATTTAGGAATGAAGGCTGCAACTTGTACACTCTATATAAAACATATGCTTAATAGCATCTCTTTTTTCTTATTTGGCTTGAAGAAACAATAAATAGGATGCATGATCAATTTTTGTATCAGATTTGATTTGACCTGAACTACACTATAACACTTGACTTTTCCAACCCGAATGTTAATTTTGGCAGGAAAGGGGAATTCAACAATGTTGTGTACAGCAGTTATGTAATGATGGAGCAGCTTATGTAATGATTGACAAAGGTCCACCCCTCTATTTAAATATTGTAATTTACACTCCCATTTGTTGGAAAACTACAAAATCAGTTTTGATTATTGAAACAGTCCAAGCAACAGAAGATACTTTGCTGACTTATTTAAGACAACTCCGAAGGTAAGTGTTGTTTAAATTTAGCTGTCAGGGTTGGCGTACTGAACAAGCAAACAAATAAAATGCAAATAATGGTTTTGTGAAAATTGTGTTGTTGCTGTTGTTGTTTCTTCCTTCTCCCAAAACAGGGACCCAAGCTGACTTTAGATGCATGAGGATTCTTGTCATGTGATATATTCTTTTTTTCTTTCTGCTGCCATAGAAATTGTGCTATGATCTCTTTTGAGGAAAAGCAGGCTAAGAACGTAAGAGAATGAGAGAAATTAGGAGTGTTCATCCTTTACAGCACTAGTGCAATTTGTGAGCATGTATACACACAGATTGTTGATCTGAATACTTTTTCCTTATTATTCATGTGTAACATTAAAGATGTATCAACTGTGTGTATGGGAAGTATTATTTAGATTATTCATTTCCTGGTGAAAAAGTTGTTTCCCAACAGTCTGTTGAGATGATTAACAGAGTGATATCTGTAGGATAATGTATTCTCCTACTATTGAAACATCTTGATGTCTTCTAGGAGATGAATTTGCACAGATATACACCTTTTTTCTCCACATTTTTTTCTGTGCAGAAATTTTTTTTTGCACAGAAATACGCACCTATTTACACAGAATACTCTCCTCAGAACATTTGGTTATTTTTAATATTCCTACACTTACCATCATGTTTTTGACTTCTATCTCAAACAAAAACAGTATTGGGTTGCTGTGAGTTTTCTGGGCTGTATGGCTATATTCCAGAAGCATTCTCTCCTGACGTTTTGTCCACATCTATGGCAGGCATCCTAAGAGATTGAGGGATCTGTTGGAAACTAAGCAAGCGAGGTTTATGTATCTGTCGAATGTTCGGGTTGAGTTAAAGCACTATAGTCTTCTAGAGTTTTATGACACAGTATTATGGCACTTTGAAAATGCATGAAATAAGCACCAATTAAAGTTAGAAGATAGTTCACTGACAGTCTTTAGTTGGGAGTCCCTACTGCCCAACTATATCAAAAACCTGGACCCCCCACACAGCTCACAGCAATTCCTAGCCAGAAAATGAAATCTAGCTTTTATCTGGTGCTTGCTCTAGTCCCTTCCACATAGCTGAATAAAATCCCACATTTTTTGCTTTGAACTGGAATATATGACAGTGTGGAGTCAGATAACCCAGTTCAAAGCAGATAATATGTGCTTTTCTGCCTTGATATTCTGGGTTATATGACTGTGTGGAAGGGCCCTTTGACATCAAGCAAAGTGACACTTAGTTGTGGGAGAATGGAGGGATACAGAAGGAAATTCCCTTTCTCTCTCTCATCCTTTCCAAGCACTTGCCACCATACATATGATTAAAATCAGAATAATGCATGCATTCACTGTTCTACTTTTTCCTGGAGTTTTTTCTGATGTCACTTTGGCATGGCTGGGCAGCAGAGACTCCCTCCTACCTATGAAAGAGTACCAATGAGGACTCCAATCAGGTCCAGTCTGGCGTCTGGCACAATCCATTGGTCAGTGTAGAGAAGGTCCTATTCATAGGGAGTTGGCATGTTTTAGACCTTTGCAGTGTTTTGAGCAATTCAAAAGCTTTTTAGCTCCTGGGCTGGGCATACTCTCCTCTTCTCTCCTCCCTGGGTTATTGATCTCTGAAGAGTGGAAAACTGATTGGATTTCATGAACATTTAGAATTTTAAAAAACCAATTTCCTAATATTACTTTGTCGTTTCTTATTCTTCCCAATTAGGTGGAAGAACTATTGCCATTTTTTCTCTAGTCCTGTCAGAAGCACTAGCAATGGAGACATCAGACAAGTACTTGTTCAAATACAGAGGATGTTGTTTTATACAAAATATGGTTACTCCTGAATACATTGATTCCTTGGAAGATTTTGAAATCAAGGACAGTGATGTGTTTCTGGTCACTTTCCCAAAATCAGGTAGGACTGGAAACAGTTTATTCAAAAGAAATGATATTTTATTTCCTCTCACATGATCTGTTATGAAAGCCATTTTTTTTTTGTTTCTCACTTTATTCGTCTAGCTTCGGGTATCGCTTTTCCCTGTAGCCTTCAGTTGACACTCATTGTAAAAAATGTTTTGCCCTTCCTCAGATGTTTTTACTTTTCCCAGACTTTATTTCTCAATAACAAAATCTCCTTGATGACTTAAAATAAGGAACAAAGACATCATCTCTTTGAGTGCAATGGCAGGTCAAACTGAATATTAACTTCCCTTGCAATCTAAACTGTTTCCATCCTGGGTGAAGGTACCCACCTTTTTCTTAGGGGGAGAATAAAAATTGCCTTTTTTATTTTTACTTCCCCTATATGAGTTTTAATAGTTTTGACTGATGAAGAAACCAGTGCAACTCTGAAAGCTTGCATGGTATTGTTAGTTTTTGCTTGGTTCAATAAAGGTATTACTATTTTGTGGATTTTTAATGTTAGTTTATTTTGCTGTATGACCAACATGGCTGCTTCTGCCCCCCCCCCCCCGGATTTGAGAATACTGCATTTTAACTGCAACAGGAGAAATTTAAAAGAAGAGGGAACCAAGGAACTTGAGAGTTCAGCAGCACTACAGAGATTTTTGGAAAGGACAAGTGCAAAACCTTTTTATTGGGGCTGCATTTAGCTGGAATTTTGGATGCTATTGCATTTTCCTAAAAGTCCTATAACTTAATCTCTGTTGATCTGGTTCAACTATGGTTGCCTGCATTTCCTTTCCTGTCATTCCTGTATTTTCTCTCCAGTATTGCAATTTAGATATGCTCCTCCAGAAATAGACACAAACTTTTCATTTAGCTGATAAGTAAAAGTAAAAGGTCCCTTGATGCTCGGGAATGTATTTTACCAATTTGTTCATATCCACACAGGAACTATATGGACACAGAATATTTTGAGCTTGATTTATCATGAAGGTCATCGAAATGGGACTGAAGACATGGAACTGGCAGACAGAGTTCCATGGATAGAGTACAATATCCAGAATGTAGATTACGTGAATCGCCCATCACCACGTCTCTTTTCCAGTCATCTGCCCTATCATTTAATGCCAAAGGGGTTAAAAAATGGGAGAGGGAAGGTAAGGGCTAATATTTCTATCATTTCATTCATTTAATTTGCTGTCATAACAGGGGAGGAGACGTTGCTTAAAGAATCTACAGAAGGTTTTGATGTTGGCATGAGAAGAATTTAAAAACTGAGATACAAAGGTCTTCTGATAATTAGTATCTCCTTCAAAGGAGGGCACATTGCTCAGTCACTGGCAGAAGGCTAATGATCAGACATTTCAAAGAGTGAAGTAACTATCATTTTCCACAGTAAATGTTCCTGACATGCATACTGCAAAAGTTATTAAAGAGCAACTGGAAAATACTCAAGAGGGGGTGTTTTATTTTATAATTAATTTGTTGAAATACTACTTAAACTGACATAGTTCCTTTCAGAACTCAGTTTTAAAGTTTATTTATTAACTACTTTGGAGGAAAGGGTTCATACATGTTTATGTTTGAGTCCAGAAACTGACCAGCCCACCTGCTGATTGATATTCCAGAGCAACACCAGAATTCTTGGATGACAGGAATAGGATCTACATTGGGGGGGGGGGGCTGCATGGTTCCCCCTTTTTTTTCTGCAGGCAGTAAGGAAAAGCATCAAGCACTGAGTTGGGCAAGACCTGTTCCACCCAAGTCCCTTAAGGAGTCCCCTTAATTTTGTATTATTAATGCCAGTGAGATATCCATAACTGATGCCCTCAACCCAGATCCAATGCCAATCACCACAAAAGGTGGGCAGGTGGACCTCCTCCTAAACCTGTCTTTTGCCAACCCACAGCAGCTATAATAAACAAGCAAAGGGAGGGGGGCTATGTATGTAACCACCTGACCTGAGCACAAGGCCTGTGACACCTTCTGAGGTGTAATGTGGGGACGCCCCTCTCCATGCATAGTAATCCAAGTTCCCAAAGTCTTGACTAACTCATTGTGCTCTGTGTGTCTTCTCCAGCCAGAGCAGTCTCTTCCGGCTGTCTTCTTTCTTTCCTCTGTCCATCTGGCCTCACAGTGCCACACACTTGAATGCCATTTTCACTGATATTATGGAGTCCTCTGCCTCTGTAATATTTTAACAGTTGCTAGGACCATGACTCACTACCTTAAAAGGAGTAAAATTAGTCTGAAACCAGATGTTACTATTTGAGTTCATCTACATGTCTAAGCTGACATTAAACTGTGGCAGCCACAAAACACATGCCCCTAATGCATGCTCCATCACAGATTAAGCAGTATACAGTAGGTTAATGTAGTCATCTTCCTGGCTTTGAATCAGTTCTAGACCTGGCAATCTAACCATCTGTGCAGCAAAACTGATTTCTCCCAAAACTGCATCATAGTGTCACTATAGAAGGGCTCTTGTGGATTTACAGTTGGATATACACTACCATGGAGCCCCCGGTGGTGCAGTGGGTTAAAGCACTGAGCTGCTGAACTTGTTGATCGAAAGGTCGCAGGTTCGATTCCGGGGAGCGGCGTGAGCTTCCGCTGTCAGCCCTAGCTTCTGCCAACCTAGCAGTTCGAAAACATGCAAATGTGAGTAGATCAATAGGTACCGCTCCGGCGGGAAGGTAACGGCGCTCCATGCAGTCATGCTGGCCACATGACCTTGGAGGTGTCTACGGACAACGCTGGCTCTTTGGCTTAGAAATGGAGATGAGCACCACACCCCAGAGTCAGACATGACTGGACTTAATGTCAGGGGACTACCTACCTACCATACACTACCATAGAGTGCAGTTTAAACAGCATTGAATGGTCAGTGTATACCCATGTAATGCAGTTCAATGAAGTTCAATCTGCATTATATGCAAGTGTAGATCCTGCCTTAGAAGCACTTGATTTGAGATACAGTCCCATTACGAGACATATTGGGTGATCAGAATATTTTACTTCACAAGGTCTTTAATATGATTGCTTCTGCAGGTTATTTATGTGGCCAGAAACCCAAAGGATGTCTTGGTCTCCTACTATCATTTCTCCAAAGTTTCTGTCCTACTTGAAGAAGTGGAAGACTTTGACGCTATTATGGAGAAGTTTTTGGCTGGTAGAGGTAAGCTATGATAGATTTAAAACAGGAAGTTATTTTGCCTTTTGTACTATTCGACTAAAAATTGAAATGTGGGAAGAATAATTATATAACGTCACACATTCTGAAAACAGATAACAAGTAGTGGACATCTTATTAGGCAGAAGCAACAACTGAAGTCACATTTATTTTATGTGTAAGTTTATAAGAAAAAAATGAAAGCTGTGGAAATAATATACAGTTCCTAAGCAACTGACCATGACTGCATGGCACTCAGTCCTGGAAACAGAATAAGAAGGCCTTTCACAGAACATCTGGTTTCACAACTTAGTATTGAGTTTGCAAGATCTTTGCAGAAACGTTAATAAGAGGGAGTATTTTGTGATCTGAAAGAGGTTCTGCTCCCTCTTAAGAAGCAAGCCATTCTATAGTCTATAATTTCATCCTAGAAGTTTGAGTGGAGCCCCAAATGTGACAATGAGTACCTTTTACCAGATTTCACTTATGCAATATTTATGGTAATTCCTGGCTAAAGATAAGTTAGATCAGATGACTCATGCATTGGTATACTTCAACTGGGCTCATCTACACAAAAGACGTAGGTTGCTGTATACTCAGAGCAGCCCAGTAGTGGTTAAATGCCACATGGGGCTGATCTGGCTTAACCTGGGTAAAGATGTGTTAATGCAGCTCTGCCCCAGATTAAGCTAAGTCAAGAGAAAGCTCAAATCCTGACCCAGGGCTAAAGGACCACCAAGACATCTGGGCTTGTTCCTAACCAGAACTGGTGGCAGCTCTCTTGACTGCTATGCTGCTTTCCTCAGACTCAGGGGGCCTGGGGACACAGGATGGCAATCCCCTGTCATCATTTCCCATTTTGTGGTTATTCTTTTTCCTTTCCCCACTAACCTTAGTGCGACTGTACTCCTTGTCAAATTGTCAAAAGCCAGATCGTCAAAAACTAGCTAGGCAGCATGTTGCAGCTAAGGAACATGTTAGACTGATTAGGCATTCAGGGAGTCCCTGTCAGAATACCATGTGGGACCAATCTGGTGTCAGTATAGAAGGGTGCCTTGAGTATTGTAGTACATTCTGTGTGGGGATGCATTGTTCAGAAACTTGTACCAAGTACACAATGTCAGCAAGGTTATTGTGTGATGCACCTAGCCACACTGTCATATTGCCTCCTAATATCTCTAATAATGAAGGGAAGTTTTTCAATGTTTTCATTAAAGCACAAAATATAATCTGGTCTCCAATGCTGTTGGTCATATGGAAAGACAGAACAGCTATCTTCTGTTTCATTGGATTGGTTCACTGGCTTAGTAGATACAATGTTGTGTTCATCTTTCCCAATCTGCAGATGGTGGGAGAGGTAAGTAGGGAATCCTGGCCCATGACAAAGTGCAGTCTGAGGCAAGGATAAGAAAGGCTCTCATCCCATACCATGACTGAAAGCTAGCAATACTGGCTTTTCTATCTTCTTAATAATTGCCCTGAGATACTGTATCTCAAGGCAAAAAGGAAGATTTCACATAGTACCAAAAGGACTTCTCTGGAACCAACACTACACTGGAACTTTGCAGCAGACAACACTGCAATCTATGGTGCTAAAATCTGTTTTCAGCTATTCTAACATTTTCTATGTGTCTTACAAGTTTTAGGTAGTCTATGGCTAGATCATATAGAAGGCTGGTATGCTCAGAGGGACAACATGAATATTCTCTTCCTTACGTATGAAGAAATGAAGAAGGTAAGGAACAGCAAAATTTGTTCACCAAATTTGTCCAGGGCTGAGGGCCAGGACAGGCAAATGGGGATGTTCAAGATCAATGGGGGCTTGCATGGATATTAAACTGAATGTCACTGTTGCTTGTTTTCCCCTTTCATTCTCCTCCTTCACTACACCTTATTTTGGAGAAGAATTTACTATTTGTTGAAAACACATAGCAGGCTTTTCCTGCATCAATA